TAACCAGTAAAGTAGACTGGGAAGTCTAGTAAACTCAATTTCCAAAATGTCTTCAGAGTATCATAGCATTCCTAGATCAAACACAACAGTGAAAAAGACCTTGGTCATCTGGGCTGTTGGTCACACAAGTACTCTGAGCTAGGAAGGAGCTCCAAATTCTTTTCTTGATTTCTGTCCATATAGTGTTGGCTTTATGACATTGAATGAGATACTCCTGAGAGCAAATATTAATGTCATTTTAAAAGCATGCTGCATTTATGTAGAGTCTGTGTGAAATATGAGAATCAGAATGGAACAAGAAATAGAATAGTTTGCTACACCACACAAAACAACAGGTTTATGAGATTTGGCTATTTTATGTTCTTTTGAATATTGTCAGAGGTAGCAACTTATTTCCCTTTGAGAATGGATATAACTTTTACATTATCCAGAGTCATTTGTATGTTAGGTAGAGTGAAATTGGCAAATCAATATTACATTCTGGCTGGTAATTTTGCGTTATGTCCCAAAGCCTTATATTTTAATATATACATTGACAGAACAATTCTGCCTATAGTAATTTATTCCAAGAAAATATCCCCAGGTATTTGCAAATATTTCCTTATGATATTGTTCACTGTAGAGAAGTTGGGAGCAGTCTAATGTCACTGTTGTGGAAAATATCAAATGATATGGAGAAAACTAACTGTGAAAAGAACACACAAAACAGGATGCAGGCTGAGGGTGATAGTACACACCTGTGATTTTAGCGCTTGGGAGGTTGAGGCAAGAGGATCATGACTTTGAGGTGAACCTGGAACTGCATAGTGATACCTTATCACAAAGAAACCCCCAAACATCAGAATGTTCAAGATTATATGTTCACATACCTGTGAATAGACATATATAACATAATGATGTATTTTCATATATTTCAGATATTAGAGTTTATTTTATAGAGGATTTGGGGAACAATTTTTCTTATTTTTTCTACATATTCTACAAGGACCACATATCACTTTTGGAAGTGGGAAGAAAGAAAGAGAGAGGGGGAGGGAGGGAGAGAAAGAGTGATAAGGGAACGGGAGGGAGGAAGGAAGGAAGGAAGGAAGGAAGGAAGGAAGGAAGGAAGGAAGGAAGGAAGGAAGGAAGATGAGATATGATTTCAGGAGCAAAGAGATTATAGTTCAACAAGTTTTGGGAAATATTTTATATCTCATATTTAAAATACAGTTGAAAAATCATTTCTTACATAGATAAAGACCTTAAATCGTTTCTAAGCATTTTTGATAGGTATTTCTCACATGGTAGTTTCTGTCTTGTAACCTGATCTGTCTCCCTAAGTATATAGGCTCATTTTGATTACTTTTCTTGAACTTTATAGAGGAAGAGTTTCCTCCATCATGGTTCAGGGATACAGTCCATCACAACTGGGAAGGCATTGTTCCTGGGTCATCTATATCTCTGACTGCAGGACCATGCAGTTGTGCCTTCCCCAATGGCAACTAACCAGAGTCAGGACCAAGTTATCATCCCCAAAGGCTCTCCCCCAGAGTTCTACCCCCTGTTAGACAGGCCTCACAATTCCCAAATAGCTGGAAACCAGTTGAAAAAAGTACATAAGCCTGTGGGAGTCATTTGAGATCCAAAGCATAACAGGGGTCAGGTTAGAAACTCTACAAGTATACTTAGCAATGACATCTAGTTGGCCATGTTGGATTGGTGGGGTAGTCAACTTAAAAAAGACCTGTTCCTTCTCTGCCTGGTGCCAGTAGTGACTGCAATGCAGCAAAACTCCACAGGTGAATATATAGATCACAGGAGAATGTGAACCTTCATTAGTGTACTTTCTCTATTACAGTAAAAGGAGTGACTGTATTTTAAAATAACCATTCCCAAGTCTTTGAGTAATTTATAGATATTTGAGTTTGGTTAGATTTTTGTGGGTGAGGTTTGGAAAAATAATAAATATGAGTAAGAACTACTGGACTTGAGTGAAGTCTGGTTGTACAGGGATTTGTGGCCTCCTAGAACAAAGAGATGATCATAACATCCTAACATATTACTGAAACTGCTTCCTAGGACCAACCTTTATAAGGCTATCCTGAACTGCTATTCTCAATACTATTTGCGTAAAAATTAACTGATGAGTTTTATCTAGTACTGAGGCCCTGGGAAACATCAATCCTAGGTATTTCCAATCCAAATAGACTCTGTGAAGCAGTTTCATGTGATTTCTGGACTTGTTTCGTAGAATTAAAGATCTGTCTCAGAACTTCTTGGCAGTAGATAATCAAATTATTTGAGTAGTATTCGCAATCAAGAGGCCTCCTGAAACATGAAATAACAACAGTATTTTATCTAGACATTATGTTGAGTACTTTCATGATTAAGCATTTTTAATTCTGATAAAGAAAACTGATATGAAGTTGGTGGTATTATTCTGCCTCTCTTGCAGATGAAGCAATTGCAGCTAATAAAGACTATGTATTTATATTGTGAACAATAATGCTGAAAGTCCCACCCATCACATCTGCCTGTGGCAACTGTGATTGTAACCATTATCCTGCGTTTTTTTATTTTATTTCTCTTATCTGTTTGCTTTTGACATTATTTTGTGTAATTTAATTGGACTCATCCCTGATAGCTCGCCTTTTCTTCCATGGTGTGTACTTCTTGAGCAAACTAAAGCTAGCAGAATCTGACCTTCTGGAAGCTGAAGAATTCCCAATTCAGAAGAAACATCTGTGGTCCAATTGCTAGCTAATACTATAGCCCTGGACATGTAGCAATTCTAAGAATCAATCCCTGAGCTCCTTCGAGCATGCTGCATCATCATGTAATTTCCTTCCTTTGCTTCAACTCCTACTGAACTCATGGAGATAGATTCACTTCCTCAAGCCCATTGTCTTGAGAACCATGCCTTCCTCGTCAGTCCATCTCTGCCATCTAGCAGCATCAGAAAACTGACCATTAGCTATGAGAATGGCTTGATGTTGAAGTGAACGCTAATTCTACACAGGAGCAAGCTTTGTTGGATATAACATGGCTTGGCACTTCATAAAGATATGGATTATGTCTGTTTTGCTCACATCAAGTTGAGGCAGGACCAAGCACCACCCCATCAAGGCTGAGCAAGGCATCCTACCATATGGAATGGGCTTCAAAAAACCGGTTCATGCACTAGGGATACATCATGGTTCTATTGCCATGGATCCCACAAACAGATCAGCCTACAAAACTGTTGCCCACATGTATAGGGCCTAGGTCAGTTCCACGAGGCTCTACAACTGCCATGATCTTCCCTGACCCCCTCGCCTTGCTCATATAATCCCTCCTCCCTCTCTCCAACTGGGATCCAGTAGATCTGCCTGGTGCTTGGATATACATTTCTGCATCTGCTTCCATTGGCTACTGAATGAAGGTTCTATGATGACAGTTAGAGTAGTCACCAATCTGTTTCCTGGGGTAAGACCAGTATAGGCCCCTTCCCCAATATTGTTAGGGGTCTTGTGGATCCCTTGGAATTTCCCTAGTATTAAGTTTCTCTCTAGCCCTGTAATGGCTTCCTCTAGCTAGATATCTCTTTCCTTGTTCTCATCCCATTTCTCCCCCTCCCCTTAACTGCCTCTCACCCCCAGCTTGTCCAGGGGATCCCATCTATTTCCCCTTCCCAGGGCAATCTATGTGTCATGTCTCACATGCTCTTGAATAGGTAGGATAAACATAATTAAAACAGCAATCTTACCAAAAGCAATTTAGATATTCAATGCAACCCCCATCAAAATCCTAACCCAATTATTCACAGACCTTGAAAGAATAATATTCAACTTCACATGGAAAAACAAAAACCCCAGTCTGGCCAAAATAATCCTATATAAGACAGGAACTTCCGGAGACATCACCATCCCTGACTTCAGGCTCTACTATACAGCTACAGTAATAAAGACAGCTTGATATTGGCATAAAAACAGACATGGACCAATGGAATAGAATTCAAGACCCTGGCCTTGACCCACACACCTATGAACACCTTAATGACTTGTAAATAGTCATTCTGCACTTCTTCATGGGAAAGTACAGGGGTTAATGTTCACACCTTGTCTTGACTAGAGGAGGCACTTAGGACATTGAATGACCAAATAATGGTGATCACACTTTAGCAATGAAGGCATTCCTCACATCAAGTAGTGTTCCAGTACTAGCTCAACAGGGGATGCTTTCTTAGAGAAAGCTTGTGCAGCCTTCAGTTTCTATAAACCATCTCTGGGTTTTATCATGGATCTTGATACTGATTTTATTCAATGGATTGGAATTTAGAATCTTCTCCTTATAGATTTATGCCATTCTCAGGCTACTCAATGGGATTTCTATTTGTGGTGGTTTTGAATAAGAATGGACCCCATAGCTATTTGAATGCTTAGTCACCAGGAAATGGAACTGTTTGAAAATTAAGATTCTAAGAACTAGGAAGTGTGGCTTTGATGACAAAAGTGTGACCTTGTTGGAGGAAGCATGTCATTGGGGATGGGCTTTAAGGTTTCAAAAGCCCATGCCAGGCCAATCTCTTTCTGCCTACAGACCAGGACGTAGAACTCTCAGCTACTTCTCCACCACCATGCTTGCCCGTGTGACACAATGATGATCATGGTCTAACCCCCGAAACAATAAGCAAGCCTCTGATTAAATGCTTTCATTGCAGTAGTCGCCTTGCTCATGGTGTCTCTTCACAGCAATGGAAGTGTGACTAAGATATTGTTGTTTTATTATTCTTAGCATTGCCTTCCAGATAAACTGAGTTCTATTTCATTGTGTAATCTGTGCTTAGATTTTATTCTTATACAAATGTCTTTCATGTTGCACATAGGACAAAGGATATATCCTGCTTGTGTGATCTCTCTTATATCTGTCCTGAAGATAATTCATGTTAGTAAATATCAAATTCTTTTTCACTTCAAACATAGACACTGGCACATATATCTGGTACTAAATAATCCTTTCTTTTTTTTTTAATTTTCCAGGCAAGAAAGCTGATCAGTGATTTTGCCATTATCTTGTCTATCCTCATGTTCTGTGTAATAGATGCTCTAGTAGGTGTGGACACTCCAAAACTAATTGTGCCAAGCGAGTTCAAGGTGAGTTGAATGTCTCTCTTTTGCTTGTTCCTCAAACCTCTTGACTTTCTTTTCCCCTAATGTAGTTTATTGTGAATTTACTTCAGTAAATTAGCACTTTCCCCATCAAGATAATCCCTTATTAGGCTCATTTATAGTTAGTTTGGTTTCTTCACTAAAATTAAATGCCACAGTTAGGATCAAATTCTTGGTTTGTGCTTTATTGACTTTTATTTTAAAAAGGCACATAGCATGAGCTAACCTCAGCCTTATATATTTTAGTATATTTCAGATGCTCTTATAGATCCAATTGGCTTGACTCATGTAGCAGTTCTGATAAATGCACACATAACTATCATCATGCCTGTTTTATAAACCAGTAATTCTCACAAACACTAAGCAAATGCCCATCACTTCTTCAGTAGTGGAGACAAGTTGTGAAGGTAGAATTTAAGCCTTCATGTTCTAACTTAGGGGTCTTTTTCTCCTTCCAAACTATTTTCCAGGAACACTTATAATATGAAGCTTAATTGTTATAAAGAAAACAGGAGAATTAAGTAATTTCTGGATTTACTGTGTATGTGTGTGTGTGTGATATAAAACTTATTATGCAGTCATTCATAGCTACATTTCTATGTAGTTTTCCATTGCAAATTATAACCTATTTTCTAGGACAACTCTGTTTTCCCCACTACTGAGATAATAATGTCAAACATTATTAAGCTGGTGGCAGTTTTATATAACTAGTTGATGAGAAAGGGATATGCATGCATTCATGCACATACATGACATTAGCCAAAATAAATTATAGTTAATTTGATAAGTAATGCATTTAAATCAGTATTTTCTAAATGTTTGCCTGGAGCCATACTCCATCCTGGGGGGTTGAAATTCTTTAATAAGCAAGATGAAATGTCTTGTCTTACAAGCTCACAATATGTGGTACAGGTAACGTTAAAATTTTTTTTCCATTGTAGAGTTTTAAATAAAAGGAGAGGGAACATGCACTCAGAATTTGTTTTTATACCTATAAGTCTGGCACTCAGGAAACTAAGACAGGAGGATTGCTGTAAATTCAAGGCCAGTCTGTGTTACATTGGTGATTCCAGGCCAGCTTCAGCTGTAGAATAAGACCCTGTTTAAAAGACAGAGAGAGAGAGAGAGAGAGAGAGAGAGAGAGAGAGAGAGAGAGAGAGATAGAGACAGACAGACAGACAGACAGAGACAGAGACAGACAGAGACAGAGAGACACAGAGAGACACAGAGAGACAGAGAGAGAGAAAGAGAAAGAGAGAGGGAAAGAGAGAAAGAGGGAGGGAGGGAGGGAGAGGAGGAGGAGGAGAAGAAAGGAAGGAAGAATGTTTACACTTATATGCTTTCCTTAAAGTAGGAAATAACAGAAAATTTGCTTTCTGTAAAAGGCTTATATGATCTACTGAAAGTGGAAAAATGAGAACTTTCTCTGGTTTTCTGAAGTAGTTCTTGGAATTTAATCTCTTCTGGATAATTTTCACTTATAAGAGATACAAATGCTTCAATTATTTATACCATGTAAAATATCTTTTTGCATATTATGAAGCCACTTATTTGGCAGAAGTAGAAACAATTTCTGTCCAGTGTGAAAATTTAAACAGAATTTGTGACGGCTTTGTAATTTTTTGGTACATCTTTATAGAATATTACATTTGGGGTTTTCTTCTGCGTCTCTTAATGTTAGTTTTTTTTTCCATCTGACTCCTTATCTCAACTAATTTCATGTATTCAAAATGTCACCCTCTGCTTTCCCAATAGCTCATATATTTCCTTTCCTTACCTTTAGGGATAGCTTCAAAAATAACACCCTTTAGGAAGACTTCTCTTAAATAATCTTTTCCTCCAGACTATAACTGTTTCTACTTTTTAGTATGTTGACCCTCTGAAATGTGAATTTTTTAAAGCATGTAGCATATATTAACATTGCTCTGAAAAAGTTTTATCTCTTTGCTTCTAGCCAACAAGTCCTAACCGGGGTTGGTTTGTCCCACCGTTTGGAGGAAACCCCTGGTGGGTGTACCTTGCTGCTGCTATCCCGGCTTTGTTAGTCACCATTCTGATTTTCATGGACCAGCAAATCACGGCTGTGATTGTGAACAGGAAAGAACATAAGCTCAAGGTAAACGGCCATAGAAATGGCAACCATTGCCTTCTACTCTCTTCCTAGTTCTTGATAATATCTATTGATTCAAAACCAAGTAAGCTTTATTGAGAGTTATAGTATAATGAAAGGTCATACAAAGATCAGTTAGTGTTTACAAGGTCCTTAGTGTGATATCTTGGGTAGCAATCACTTAAATATGAGGAAGATGTTTCAATGTCTGTCTGTTTCTTTAATTATCAAGGAAAGGTCTGTGCACCAGTCTTCCTACTTCTGATTTGGGTATAGCAACCACCTTCATGACGACTTGGTGATCGAAGATTTAATTAAATCACCTGCTTTCTGCTAAATAAACTCAGATTTTTTTCCTTTCCAAGAAGTTTGTAGGGGATAGGAAGTGGGTAGCTAGGTGATAGCGTGCTTATCTATAATGCAAGGCACTAGGTTCCATTCCCACATTGTACGCACAAAAAAGTGGATTGCATCTGCTTATGGGGTGAATGTGACAATTTGAAACATGTAGACAGTACATAATGACCAGATCAGGTCAGAGTCATGGGCATTTCCATCTTTTAATCACACCAATTCTTAGTGCTAGGGAATGAGCAAATATTTATTATTAAAGATTTTTCAGGGGCTGGAGAGATAGCTCAGCAGTTATGAGCACTAATTGCTCTTCCAGAAGACCTGGGTTCAAATCCCAGCACCCACATGAAACTCCACACTGTAACTCCAAGATCTGACACTGCAAATACAGATGTACTTGCAGCCAAACCACTAATGCATATAAAATAAAAGTAAATAAATATTTTTTTATTTTTATTTTTCATTATTTATTTTTAAGTTTAAATTTAGATTAGAAACAAGGTTGCTTCACAAGTCAGTTCCAGGTCCCTCTCCCTTTCCCTCCCCTCCTCCTGTGTTCTCCCCTTAACCCCCTCCCCATTATCCCCTCATTTCCCCAGGGAGGGTGAGGCCCTCCATGGGGGTGTCCATAGTCTGTCATTTCATCCAGGACAGGGCCTAGACCCTCCCCCAAGAGTTCAGGGTGAGAGTGCATCTCACATTGTTGGACGGGAGTCCAAAGTCCATGTGTATACTCGGGATGAATACTGATCTACTGCCCAAGGCTCAATAGATTACCTAGGCCTCCTCACTGACACCTGACTTTTCAGATATCCAGTTACAAACTGTTGGTAAGCATTTATACCCCCACCTTATCCCCTTTCCTTAAAAGGTTCACCTCAGGATATTATAGACCATAAAGTATGAAGAAAAGTTTTTATTCTTATATTTTAGGGTTTGCAAACATAGGTTTAATGGCATCGTCATGAGCCAAGAGAAAATGTTTTAGTGGTATAGAGAGTTGCCTAAATTGTAATAAATTAGGTAAATTTTCTCCATGTCTAATGATATTTTAGGTCACAAATAATTTCAAAAATGCCATATAGGGGATGAGAGAGGGCTAATAAAAGTAAAAAGAGTTAGAAACTTAATGGCTACTGACCATGAAGCAGATCATTTTCTAAGCACTTTATATTATATATTAACTCATTATCTTTTCACAATCACCATATAAGAGGAGCATGAAAATGTATTATAATCACATGCAGAAATAGGGAAGTGTATCACCAGGATGAATTTAGCAAAGGGGGGATGGATGGCAGAGGGAAAACTACAGAGAGAGTAAAAGCATTTGAGTGTAGAAATATACCAGGCAGAGGGATGAGAGAGATGATAAACCATCCAGTTAGAACTTCAGATGAGGGTGAGGAAGAAGTAAATCCCACGACTCATAAACTAGGGATAGAAGAAAATTGAATATTTCATTGAAGAGGAGATGTTTCTGTTTTGAAGGTTTTTGGGGAAAGAAAGCAGTTAATGAGCTCCATGCAGTTTGCCCATCATTCCTGAAGTGGTGTGGGAAGGTGGGGGTAAAGACTCTAGTGGAAAGCCTAGCCTGTGTGGTTGTTGACTTCTTTGGCACAGAGGGTGGTCAAGAGAACAGCTTCCCGTACAGTTGCTGAAATCCTAAGGGAGGTAGGGATATGGAATGCAGTGGCTTCCTGGCATATTCAATGAGATGGATGGGCAGAATGGAGACTTGGTTGTATTTCAACAGGTGGAAAATTGTGGGAGCATGAGAATTACTGATGTATATTCCCAAGGAATGCTGGAAGTCAGAAAGCAGAATTTTACAGAACAAAAACTTGAGGTGGTCACTGATCTAAAATGAGGCACTGATTTTGAATTATCATCGGGGGAACGGTTGATTATTCAGTTGGAAACTCCCATTAACATAACTGTATATGTATTGTACACCATGACTACATAAGGTGACACGTTTTCAATTTGAAGATGGCTGTTCAACTGCTGATGTGTTTATGCCTTGCTCCCACAACAGAACTGCAGCCTGTTTTTCAGGCTTTTATTGAAAACTTTACAGCGTCCAACTCTGAGTCTCATAGTCTAATCTGTTAATAATTAAGGGCCATAATGAGGACAGCTCTTCACTCTTGCCATCTTGATTTGATTTGTGTGTATATATATGTGTTCCTGTGTGAGTGTATGTCACATATCTGAGTGCCTGCAGAACTCAAGGGAGAGCATTGGATCTCTGGAGCTGAAATTACAGGCAGTTATGGGTCACTTGGGTCCTCTGGAAGAAGAAGGGGCTCTTAACCACTGAGCCATCTCCCCAGACCCTCAAAACGTGTTTCTAAAACTTGATATTACTGAAGTTCATTAAATTCTTCTCTACCTAAACAATTCACTTGTTAAAAGTTGGGGTCAGAAGCAAGGAGATAGCATGTTTTATTGTTTTATGAACAACTTTACAATTGAATTTTATAAGACTATCACAAGAGTTTAAATACTTTTGACTAGAAACCAATGAAATGTACTTTACTAATTTCCCTAAGGTGTCTTTGCAGAAATATTAGAATGAATCATATGTACATGCATACATGTTCTAGTCTCTGATAGCACTATATACAATCATTTGATTAATAGCATTAATTTTTGTATTGTGAAATACATCACAGTTGTCTTCAGCTATGTAGCAAGTTAGAGGTCAGCCTTGACTTCAAAAGTCAAGTAAACAATTTATGTTCTACTGGGAGTTTTTATTTACTTTAGGAAGGCATTTTTTGATCATGTTACCAACATGAGAATAATCTTCTTTGCATATCCTTTAAAAAATCTATTTATTACTATGGAAATCTATTTATTACTATGGAAAATTTCTTTAAATGGTCCCTGGACTCATAAACTTGCTTATAGATTCTATATTACAAGTGGATCATCTGTGATATATATGTATGCACATATATCATTTATCTGCCTATCCATCCATCTCTCTCTGTTCATTCATCCCTTAATATATGCTTACAGATACACATGCACAAGAGAGGAAAGAATGAAGCCTCAACCACTTTAAACTCTATTTTTCACTTGGGCTTTACCAAGCCACATAGGTAATGTGCATTCTAGTAACAAAGTCAATTGCAGGTTGCAGGTCTATGCTTAAGGATGTCCTTGGAGATTCTTTTTCATATGGCATTATACTCATTGGCAAGACTGAGATGCATGTTTCCCCATTGACTCTTTTTAGTGTTAGAAGGGCTCTGAGTAGTGATTTAGTTTATGGAAAGGCTAAACATAGACTTGGACTAATTCATTTTTAATCTGAAATATTGGAACCCACTTTAAATTTTAATCTGTCACTGGAAAAATTTGGCTATGTATGTTTGGAGGTGAGTTTCTATTATTTCAGTGCTTATCAAATTTTCTTTTTGGTAATTTAGAATTAAATATATTTAGAATTGATAAACTAGGTAAGCATTTTATTTCCCTATATCTCTTAGGAAACAGTAGACATTTAAAATATGTTTGTCCTTAAAATGAGACATGGATCTACAAAAATGACTTTCTATCCCTTTTAGGATTGTTTACTGAAAACTATTCTTTTTCATAATGGTGGTAATAGTGTAGATGCCAGTCATTTGTCACAAATCCAACACCTCCAGTTGACATTTTGATCATGAATGAAGTGGTTTTGTTCTCATTTTGCTGAGAAATGAAAGTTGTAGAATGTACAAATTGGAGATACTGCCTAAAATTGTAAAAGACACTAAATGCTATGAACTTGATTCAAAAGGAAAACCTGACTCAGCAAGAGAAATGGGGCACCACAGTGTTGGGAGCAGCATGCTTGGGGTGGCATTTGCTTTGGTTCTGTGGCAAGTGGCTCTGGCTGTCTGTCCTGAGATGATATCCACTGTACTGAACAACCCCACACTGAAATAGCAACACCAAGACTCTTGACTCTTTGGGCCCATTTTGACTAGTTATGCCCTTCATTCTACCTGCAGAATACTTGAAAGCAAACCAGGTCCAGCAAGGTCAAGTATGTCTCCAAGGTCATTTCCTGAGTCATTCTCAGAGACCAGAGCAGAGCCAGCTTCAGACCACAAAGCCAGGAATATTCTTCCCCAAAACAGTGACTTCAAGAGTTGTGTAGGAAGCAGAAATCATTTAGGACCGTTATCTACAGATAGCTGTCATATAATCCTGGCAATCACTGTCTTATGACACACTTTGTGACAAAGCACTTCATTTAAATATGATATTTTCATGGTTTATTTTTAAAGCATAACTCCTAAACTTACCTTGCTCGATATTTTTTCATTTCTGTCCCTGTTATCACAGTCTTGGGTCGAGCGCTATTATTTCAAGCTAGATTCTTATAATAGTTTAGCCACTGAAGCATCATAACCAACTTCCCTCGCTTCTTTGAACACAGTTTGTTTGTGACATGATGTTCTTATACATTGGTCTTACGTCTAAAGCACCTCAACTATCTTGAGTTTTGCCTCTTGACTATCTGTTTCTCCCAGCCTGACAGTTAAAGAACCTTGTAAAACAATGTCAACCTAGATTTAAGATGCTTTGCTGCCAGTGCCAGCCAGTGCTCTGCATAAATGGTTTTGGGTTCTTGATTCTCACAGTTCTGCTGGAAGATCTATTCCTCACTCCCCAGTCATCGCTGTTCACCAAAAGCGGCTCCATCCTTTAAGCATTTCTAAATATAAAGTCCCTAGTGTCACCTTCCTTCACCCCTAATGTAATTTTTATTGCCCTTGCTTTTTGTTTTTTCTTAGTGATTTATATTATTCTGTGCCAGTGGTCACATGATAGTTCATACAGTTCTTTGGGTAATTACTTTATCCCTATTTCTCAGCCAAATATTTTTCAAAGTAAGCCCCATGGTTTATTCTTCTCACCAGCTTTTATGTGGCCCATCACAATTCCCGTGTTAGCCTCAATAAACACATGTAACTGAAATGCTTTATTATCTTGGTAACATGGTTCTCAGGTTTACAGAACTGTGAGAGATGATAACTGAAAAATATGCAAGCCCATCCTCACTCCTCAGAATGGCTGATTACATGGTTTAAGGCCATACGTAGATGAAACTCTTCATCCTTGGTGTTTTTTGTAACTTTTCCAAACTTCTGCGATTTTCTGTTTAGAGTGCATTTTAATTCTCGTGCAAACCTGTGCCCTCTCCTCCATCTCATCTGAAACCTCGTGGTGGGACACTCCCAAGGTGCCACCCAAATCCTGTATGTTCCTAGAGTGATGAGTCCTTGCTCCTTGTTTGTATTTCCTCCCAGGCCTTCCTTTCTTGTCATCCTGGTCCCACATGTAAATGTGAGGCTTTTAACCCTTTTCTTTCTTTTATATTTTGATTTTTGTGGACTTTGTCCTAAATTATTTTTGTTCTGTAGCAGTGAGGGATGTGCAGTTTCAAAGAGACAGTTTCTGTCTTGCGCTTAAATTACTTTGCAGTTTCAGAAGATAGAATATCCTTTGGGTTTATAGATGAAGTCAAAGACATTTTTAGATTGCTTCTTATATACCCAACACTTGTGCTGAATGCTGAAGGTACAACTGTTTTAACACCGGTCTCTTCCCGGAAGGAAGCGTCAAGGTTAGCGCTCACCCATCTTACGCTGTGCCATGTGTCCTGCATGCATCTAATTACTTGTGTGTGTGCCTTACCTCAGCTAGTCACCTGCATTCTCTGTAAGAATGGGTGTTTGTCTTACCATTGTTTAACTGAACACAGGGTCTAGTTTAGACTAAGTCTTCAGTGAATGTTTATTCAATAATAGTTACCACACAAAAGCCCCCGAGTGAGAAACACCTTGTTGTATCAAGAGGCAGAGAGCAGGCCAACAGAACAAGTGACTCAAGTTGAGGGCAACTGAGTAGACTCCCATTACACAGCACAAGGTTTGTCAGCTTCAGCATTTGTGCCAAGGTTGAACAATCCTATTGGTGGTGGTTGTTCTATATGCTGACAGCCATTTGTCAGTATGTCTGGGCTCTGTCCAGGGTGGCCAGTTGTACCTCTTCCAAGTTGTGATGCTCAAAAATATCTCCAGACACTGCTAGGTACTGGCCAGAGTGTGGGGTGGCCAATAATTATAGAAATAAATGTTCGTGTCTATCCTTACAGGTAGTTTTATACTGTTTAGTTCCCATTAGTATTGTATTATAAGTGAAAACTGGAAGCCACTGAAATATTTTGATCAGGGAAGTGTCACATATTGATTAAGGTGTTTAAAGATTAGTCTGTGAAGACAGTTAGTTGTAAAGGGACAAGAGTAACATCCTGTGGTGATGGCTGCCTAGGGGGTTGAAGGATGCTGGTCCATGTGAGGGAAAGGGGGGATTTGAGTTGAGACCAGAAAGGAGGGGATGGACTTTAACCTATGATAAATCGGGTGAGAGAATGTAAGTTTGAAGAATTGTATTTGAAACAGTAAATAGGGATGGAAGAATTGGGTGAAACGGGGCTATTATATAATCCAAGAGAGTCTAGAAAAGCCAGTACCAAGGTGGAGAGGTGGTAAGGAGCAGATAAGTTTTATGCTATTTTTAAATATTTCCTTTTCCGGTCCTTCTTACAGTTTTAGATAAGGAATGCTAGTATTTGCACATGATTTTATTTCCACTCAATCTGAGCCATTCAGATGCTTCTAGCTAAGGCATGCCTTTGGGAGCAGATTGTTTCCATGCATATCTGAGCTGATTCATAGGAATAGCTTCTCTAAGGCAAGTTTTGGCTTCTAAAGAGTTTACAACAGTAGCTTAGGGCAAAGTTTTTAACATTTTTTTCAATACTGTGTCTCTAGACTCTAGTGTATGTACGACATTGACCTAAACATAGTAAGTCTTGAATGTTAGTAAGCCTTGCATGTTGACATTTGAAGAAATAAATTCATTGAGCTTTTGTATCTCTGGACTCAGTGTCTTTAAACTACCAGAAAAAAAATGAAAAGCAGTTTCAGTCTTGAATAAGTAAGACTGAACCAAGGAGAAGAGTGGAATTTATGCCAGGTAGATGTTACCATGAGTAGTGACACACATGGCATTAATGAGGAAAACACTTTGAAGGATTCTCATGTGGCTGTGTGTGGTGTTGTATAGAATTTGGGGGTGGGCAGGAAAGATGGAGCTATAGACATTGGTCCTTCTACCAAAGACCAGATCCTAAATGGCCCTTCAGCAGCATCATAGACATGAACACTGGTAGGGGAGGGCAATTCTCAGTGTACTGTTAGAATCCAACTGCCTCTGTCTTCATTACCATAATCTCCTAAAGGAACTGTAACGTCTCCCTCTTAACTGGCCCTGCTGTCCTTGATCCTATTCAATTTGTTCATAGCACAATAGCCACACTGCTTAGAGCATAGAAATCAGATCACTCGGCTACTGGAAGTCCTCTAGTGGTATCCCATCTTATGCCTGATGCAAACCCAAGTTATTCTGGTTCTTCTTAGGACTTACCACCAAGTAAGATGCCTTCAAAATGTATGTTGTTCATTACTGTCTCACACAGTAGGAGGGGAAACTCCATGAGAGGATTCTTTTTGTTTATTCACAGACGTGTCAGCAGCAACTAGAACCATGCTTGGTACTAAGTTGTCAGGCAATTATATGTTGAGAAAATGAATGATTGAGATCTCAAACATATCACAAGACCTACTTCTCTGGTCATTATAGAATAAATTTATGGCATCACACCCCATGTTTGCCTTCTTTTCTTCTGCCACATTCTACTTTCACATCACATAATTATGCATTCCTAAAGCAACCTGATTCTATACATATACATAGCATTTGTCTCATGAGCGGATGTCTGTTCCCAGTCAAACCTGGCTTTATGAGAAAATGTCTTTACTTCTGTGTCAGCTCTCGTCTGCTATGCATTCTCTGGGAATATCGACCTCCTGTGCAAGCCATGGGTAAACTCTTGGCAGTTCTGTTAGGGAAGAGCAGTGTTCTGACAAACTGTAACAGGATCCACATGACAACACACCCTGGGTTTCTGGTGTAACTCACATACATCCCCTCTCTCCAAGGTCAGCCTCTCTATTCTCTTGGATCAGCCATAGTGTGACTCTAGGTGCTGCTCCCCCTCATGCTGTGAGAATAGGCAGCTCTAGTTTCCTCGGCTCCACAGGAGTATGAGCCTTTGATTTCTTCATAAATAGAACAGAGAAATATAACCACAGAAAAACACTGGAGACATGATGAACAGTATTTATTTAGTGAGTAAAGGAGCTGGAACTTTTGTTGCGTTGTCTGCTCGTCAAGTCAGTAAATGTTATTGTGACCAGGGTGGTGTTTTAAATCAGTCTGTTTTGATTAAGGGAGTATTCTTTATTTTAATGATGGTGGCTCGTAAGTGGTTAAGCAACTATTCTCATTGGCTATGAGAAGTTAGAGATGATCATTTACATGCCATCTCCATCAGGATTGTTTAGAGGATCATAACATACACCTAGTAGCATCACAAGTAACATTCTGTAAACACTGTCACATAGGGAAGACAGTCTGTTGCTTTGCAAGCACTGGTCATGATGCCTTAACAGCCAGTACCACTCTGAACACCACCTCCCTTGATGAGCACATACCATAGAACATCTACACCCTTGTAAGTTGCTACAAAGTCCTTTGTTGTGATTACATCATTGAATGGTCCCAGTAACTCCAACTAAGGGCCCTACTTTCATTGGGGAGGGTGGTTTGTAAAACTGGACACAGAAAGGTTAATTTATAGTAAATAGATACTAAGAGAAGTGGACATGTGTCGAAATTAATTATTCAGAATTAGAATAGAGTAGGATCTGCACAGGTGCTGTAGGAGATGGCTTTGTGTTTACCACTGAAGGAATATTATGAGTAAGGGAAGGGAAAGTCCCTCCTCAGAGTGCTTCCTTATAAGAGATGTTTTCCCGAAGCAGAACAGGCTCCTTTTGTTCATCATAATTCCTGTGTCTGACTACAGCTAGAGGACAAGTACTGTACATGCGCTGTGACTTCTTTCTGCAGAAGGGAGCTGGGTATCACCTGGACCTGTTTTGGGTCGCCATCCTCATGGTGGTGTGCTCCTTCATGGCTCTTCCCTGGTATGTGGCTGCCACTGTCATCTCCATTGCTCACATTGACAGTCTGAAGATGGAGACAGAGACTTCTGCACCTGGAGAACAACCGAAGTTTCTCGGAGTCAGGTGTGCTGTCACGGGATAATGGCACTGTAAAGCCCATGAGTACACATCTTTGTGTCAATCATATGGAGGTTGATACAATCTGGGGATAAAACGGATGGTGGGAGTTACTTTATTACTAAGTTATCTTTTCCAGAAAGGTCTTTGTCTATTTGTTGTTTTGTTTTTTGAGACAGAGTTTCTCTGTGTAACCCTGGCTGCCCTGGAACTTTCTTTGTAGACTAGACTGCCCTCAAACTCAGAGCTCTGCCTGCCTCTGCCTCCGGAGCACTGGAATTAAAGGCATGCATCACCACCACCTTGCCAGAAAGAACTTTTTAATAAAAAGGATAACTCGTAGCTTTTAGTTTACTCTTTATAGTATGTGCATTTTCTTGATTTCTAGAATATTAAGTGATACAACCTAAGAACGTGTGAATTATTTTCTTCAATATACAGCTGAGTACTCTACTGGATCTCAGTCATGTTCAGAACTCTGAGCCCTTAAGTTGGCCATGGTTTCTAGCATTCTATGAAGGAGTAAGGAATTCTGATTTTCCAACCCATTTCTGTCCCCATAAGAACTTGAGAAACTATAACCATCAAATATCAAATTAGAGTAGTTGTGGAGGTTAGTGGCTATCCTTTGTACACTATTGTTTTTGTTTTTTGTTTTTTGTTTTTATGGTAGCAAGCTTTACTCACAAGGGTGAGGGTGCATAGCTTCACTCAAGAGAGCCATCATTTCCCACGCTTCAACAGTGGGTGATTCTTTCTTGGGGGTGGGGAAGATGTTGGACGTGTATCATATTTGTTAAAAAGTACTTCTGTTGTTGCAGATTTGGAAATTAGACTGTTGAGATTTATTGCACTCATGAAATTTCCCTGAGCTGTTTGTTAATTAGAATGTGGGACAATGTAATATCTGTCTCCCATGAAAGAAGGTATAATTACACAACAACAGCACAAGTTGTTTGAAAAATAAGGACTTCAAAGAAGCCAGTAATTGATGGACCAAGAGGAAGTGATTTTTCATTCTTGGTTCTGAAAGGAGTAAAAGCATTAGAAGAATCACTTGTTTTCTTCATGAGTTCAGTAGTGTTAATATTTTTAAGTTCACACTTACGTTGAATTCCTATGATATTCTTGAGATCTGAAGTACATAATATCACTATTGATACTTTAGCCCAATACTGATTTGATCTTTCTCTAGAGGTCCGTGAGAACTGAAGTTAGAATGATGACCTTTGATTTTGTTTCAGGGAACAAAGAGTCACTGGAACCCTTGTATTTATTCTGACTGGCCTGTCCGTCTTCATGGCTCCCATCTTGAAGGTAAATCTCTAAGACATGCACCTCTTTCTCTTACTTGGAACACCAACTAGCAATCAGACACATACGTGTGAAATGCTTGCAAGATTTCACAGTACATAGAAGCCTGGGCCAATTAGAAAAAAGGACTTTAAAAACATCTGCTTTGATTTTCCCTTCTGCCCTTATTCCTTCCTTTACTGTAATTTTTGTGGCTTCTTGTTGGAACCATCTGACATTACCCATGTTGAAATCTCTTGTGACCTATAGAAGGGCAGTGTCATATATGTTCATCTCACTGGTTTTCCTTCCTGCTCCCCACATGCTTTATATTCCTTTTGTTTTCTATCTATTCTGTTCACCTGCCTATTCGTAAGCCCTACCCTTTACCACCTAAGCTCCGCCCCTTGCCTGACCTCCACAGAGTTCTAGTGATTCACATTGATCATTGTGAATTTCTTTCTACTATTTTTAATTATAACCACATTTCTGTTTTTCCTTGAATCAGAAGGCCTGTTAGTCCTGAGGAGGAAACAAGGATAAAATGACTGATGTATAATTGGAAAACGTTAGAAATGAACTTTTGAAGAATCATTGCCTGGTAGAATATTTAGAAGGCTGGAAATCAACATATGGGTTGATTGATGAGGTGGACATTGGTGTAGACAGAGTAACATACATATAATGGTCCCTTTAGGAAAAAGAACTAAAGAAGAAAGCTAATGTTTTCGCTTCTGAAGCTTCCTGTTTTTGTGATACAAGCTAGCTTCTCTCTTTCCCTTTTCTATTATAAAAACATCCCTAACTAATTATTGGTAATTTGCATCTTCTACTTTGTGCTACTGTGTAAAAAGCACCAACTTCCCCCAGACCTAACAACTGTGAGCAACCACTGTTAACAATAGCTTACCATTTTGCCAACTGAAAATTTTTATTTTTAAACAATTTAAGTTTTAAGACTTTATGTCTGGTTGTACAACTAATGGACTGATAGTACATGATTCTAAAACATTCAAATGATGTTCAAATTTGACAGTTAGCAGTAAAAGCTCTCTCCTCTCAGATTAGCAAGTTTCTATCAGTGGCCAGTCAAAGAATTTTAGAGGAGGGAGCTACAACATCCAAATCTGGAAACTAACTTTGCCTTTCAAGTACTAGACTCATGCATACATTTGGTATGGAATAATTGCTAAATAGTTAAAATACTTGATTATTCACCATTTATCCTTGGTTTCCATAGTTTCCATTTCCTCATTAATTTCTGAACAGAGTCATGAAGGACTGTGTATATCAGGTGACCCACAGAAGAACTGAGGTTAAAGATGGTGTCAGAGAGATTATTTCTGGCCTGTGTCATAGGGACAGAGGAAAATCCATGGTCATTTCTATAAAAGTAAGAAGGTGGCTTTAAAGACTTAGTGCACTGGTTCCCAACCTGTGGGTTACATCCCCTTTAGAGTCAAGTGATTCTTTCTTAGGGGTCACCTAAGACAATCAGAAAACACAGATATTTACATTACATTCATAATAACAACAAACTTATGGTTATAAAGTAGTAATGAAATAATTTATGGTCTGGGGTCACCACAGCATGAGGAACTATATTAAAGGGTCATAGCATTAGAAAGGTTGAGAACCACAGGGTTAATGAATGTGAAACATTGTACCTTCTGTCAAGGGCTGTAGCTGCTTCTGTCCCCCTGGCAGGTCCTAGCATATGATGCTGGCAGACATGCTTAGACACTTTTACCTCATGCCGTGAGCTTACATTGGGGAGGTCCCCATGGGTGGTTAAGACCCTGTACTGTAGGAAGCATCCATCCCCTGCAGGTGGGCTCCCACCCCTCCCCTGCAGGTGTGCTCCCACCCCTCCCCTGCAGGTGGGCTCCCACCCCTCCCCTGCAGGTGTGCTCCCACCCCTCCCCTGCAGGTGGGCTCCCACCCCTCCCCTGCAGGTGTGCTCCCACCCCTCCCCTGCAGGTGTGCTCCCACCCCTCCCCTGCAGGTGGGCTCATGCCATGCACTGCTCCAGTGCAGACTTGCTTTTCCATTGAGGGACAGGCAGGAGAAATCCTTTCAGTTTTCAGATTTGCTCACCATCGCCCAAGCCTCTATTTTGTCTTGTATATGATTTTTTTTTCATTTAAACAGTTTAAAATCCTGCTTCAGAAAGGGCAGTTGTATTTCAAACTTCCATGTTTTTGTTACAGAAAATTTGGTTTTAATCACGGGGAAAACTTGCCAGTAGGTTCCAAAGGGGCACACAAAACAAAAATTTGTTTAATGTTTTCTTTTAGAAAGATTGATAAAACTCATAACTGGTACCAGGTCTTCCTAACTATGCCTCACTCTGTACCCCAGAAGAGCTGCAGAAAAGTTGAAGCTGAAAACCTTGGATTTTTACAGTGGACCTTTTTACCCCATATGTATATGAAGTACTTCAGTGTATACAGGGGAGGTGAGAGCTCATTAAGAAGAGACATGGAGTTCCAGGGAGCCATGAGCCAAATTTACACTCCCCTTTGGCCATCCTGGCCAGCCCATGCCTTGGCTTGCTTTACTGGGCTGCTAGGATCCTCATTGTGGCTGTTTCTGTCTGGCAACTTTGATTCATCTGAAGAGCCATTGTAGTGGAAAAGAACTTTTTGTCAAGATAGTTTCTCTGTGTAGCCTTGGTTGTTCTGGAACTCAATCTGTAGACCAGGCTGACCTCAAATGCAGAGATCCTCCTACCTCTGCTTCCTGAGTGCTGGGATTAAAGGTCTGCACCACCACTGCCCAGTTTCAGCACACATTTTTTTTAAGCTAGGGTTTTCTCAAATGTAGAAATGAAATTGTTTTGCCAGCCTAGCTTGCGGTAGACTATGGTTATTAAGGCAACAGGCATGAAGCAGCCTTTCTTCAGACCTCTATTCCTCACTTGAGCGAGTTCCTCACTTTGGAAATAGCATCTCCCGATAAGGATGGCTATCTCAGATCAAGTGCCCTTCTCACCTCTGACAAGTGGTGTGCTTGTATCAGAGATGCCTCGTTAGCATTTGCAAAGTCAGTACAGGAAGAGGCAGATGTTAAGGGTACGGTTTAACTGAAATGTCAGCCACTGCAAAGGAAAAGGTACAATTAATAATTAACCTCAAAATTCATGCAGAAAGTGGTGTCACGGGTTGTCCTCCCGTGTGACTGTCTTTTTTTTTTTTAAGCAACAGGTGATAACTTCAGGTAATAGTTTTACTTCTGATTCTGCCCTTGAAAGTTAGATCAAATGGATGGGAAATAGAGTTATATGGGAGTTTTTAAAAACTGAAATGGTGCACCACCTTCCCTGCCCAACTCCTTTTTCTCCTTGCAAATTTAATGGTCTGGGGTGAGATGAGCAATTTTCTTGCATGCATGAAGCCATACAGATGTTTGCCTACTTATGCAAGTTACTTTGAACATGAAGTTTATGGCGTCCCTTTTGATCGCTGTGTTGAAATTTTATGTGGAGGAATGTAAGGAATTGCAGTGTTCCAGCTTTAAGCTCATGAGGATACCCCTTGACCCTGGCCAGCTACAGTCACAGATGCCTCAAAGCACCGAATGGCATCATTGCTTAGTATAGAACTGCTGGGAAGTAAGAAGAACCAGCTTCCCAGGCTGGCGACGTGGCTTCCGCTGAGCCTCCACAGGGAAAGTGCTCTGGCACTGCTGGTGTTCTGTGAGTGGTGATCACAGAGCAGTGAAGGGATGAAAGGAAGTTCTCTGAGCTGTCTTTCCCTGTTTTCTTGGCAAGACTCAAGAACTAAAGATCAAGTAAAGTTCACAGCTGCCTCTGTTTGGATGAGTTTATCTTTAACGTGAGGCGTGGCCAAAAGTTTTCGTTAAGATTTGCTAGTGCACTAAAGTGTAGAAGACAGCCTTTAGTTTGTACTTGGCAGATCCTTGATCTCCGAGTGTGTCCTACACCAGGGAAGCAGCACACCCATGGTGGAGGTGACCATGGTTAGGATTGAAGCTACTGTCTGTTGAGCTGGGCCTTCGACTCAGGGGTCAGCACAGATTTAAAAATGTCGTCTCCCATTGGTGCCTATAAGAACTATATGAATAATATCGCACTTTAAATATAGGAAAAATGTGAATAATAACTCACTAGACTTCAAAATGCGTAGGCGGTAAAAACAAGATTTGAACTCTGGAAGTTCTGTAGCCTCATGTAATGTGTGTCTTTTGAAATAAAATGTGGTGCTTAGTCTTCAAAGAATCTCTATTTCTTTTCCCATAAGATTATCTTTCCCAGATTCTTTGATCTCACTTGGAATCCTTCTTATGTGGTGAAAATTATGTAACTTTCATAAACTTTTCAGACCTCATTCCAGGCTGAGGATCGGAGCTTCTTTATCCATATAGTTTTGAGACTTCAGAGGGTTAGGGCATTATGTTGGTATTCTTGCCAAGGCAGGCTAGCTGAAAGAGCAACACAGTAGAAATTAAATAAAGCAGGACTTCAAGTTAAACCTTCCAGCCAACCCTGCCTGTACCCTAGTCCCACTCCCCACCCACCCTACCAAGGTCAGTGAGGTAACAGGAAGACCTTGGCAACTGCAGGCAGCCTCCTCGACTTGTCAGTCAAAGTCCTCAGGATAAGGATGGCATAAGCTCTCCATTTATCATTTTTTAGTTGTCATATTAAGTAATAAATTGGCAAGATGTTTTCTGTTATGTAGTCTGTCATAGGTGCTTTCTACTTAACGATGCCCAGAGTAAGAGAAACAAACAAATGTCTCAGTATTCTATAGCTGGCTGGTAGCTACAATCCAAACCCAGGTCTGTTCAACTTCTGTTACCCATGTCTTAATCAAGACCTTACTCCTAGTTTTAGACACACATGCGGGTACACACACACACACACACACACACACACACACACACACACACACACAAGCACTCACCTGAACATAAAGCCATCAAGACATCTCAGTCCTTACTGAATTCTTACCTGTTGTTGGGCAGCTACAGTCTTCCCTTTTATCAAATATCCTTCCCCATTCTTCCTTCTGGGAGTGTTCTACTATTGAAAAATCACCAGGAGATACAAAGGGAAAATATCTCTAGAGATCCATTCACCAGAATTAGAAAATTTGATGACATAATATTAAGATGTTAAATCTTATTTTAATTTCATCTCACCTCTATTATTCTATATGATTATAGGATCAGCTATTTAAGTTTCTCATTTTTTTAGTGTTTGTTGACTGTAACACTTCTTTGTAATTATCCTTTCTTGCTTCCTGGGTATTATTGATGATATAATCATTTATGCAGGTTATCATTTAGCAATCTTGATATGCCTATGAAATGGGTATTTTTAATTTCTCCTGACTTGATTTGTATAAATGCTTACCCACTATTACTGTACATTCCATTTCAATTTAAAATTAATTTTTGGTAGTATTCATTATTCATAGATATTGTAATACAATAGCTTAGGCTGGCCTTCAATTAATCTACTCATGGCAATCCTCAGCCTCTTCAGTGCTCAGGGATCAAGCATGAGCTACCATACCCTGGGTAGCTCTCAGTTTTAAAAGCATTCTTTTCCTTCTTTTTGGAACTTTCTGTTTTAGTGAATGATTCTAGTGTGATTAATTTTTAAATACTGACATTCTGATATGATTCATAAAGTAGACTCTATAAAATATACTCTCTACCCCAACAATTCTGTCAGGTTTCATTTGGAGTTCCATTATGGGATTTATATTGATACATACTATTGTGAAGGAAATGAAAATATCAGAAGTATTTGTATCACATTGAATCTGACCAAAAATCAATTTTATAGCTTTTCTCCCAATTGGTGTGTGTGTGTGTGTGTGTGTGTGTGCTTTTCTCCCAATTGGTGTGTGTGTGTGTGTGTGTGTGCCTTTCTCCCAATTGGTGTGTGTGTGTGTGTGTCTGTGTGTGTGTGTGTGTGTGTGCTTTTCTCCCAATTGGTGTGTGTGTGTGTAAAACATCTTCATATCCCTAATTATTTTCTTGCCCACATCCATCCATGCCATTCTGTGTTGTAGACTGGGTAAAGTCCGTTAATATAAGTTCAGAGAATGAATGTAAGGCCCAAAGCATAATGTTCCTTTGCTATGGTAGTAGAAGCACATTAGTAAGACGTTTTTAGTTAAGCCCGGGTAAGGACATTTTGCTTTACTCAGATTTTTAAAAAATTGACCATTGGGGGCTGAAGAGAAGATGGCTGAGCGGTAAAGAGTACTGACTGCTCTTCCGAAGGACCTGGGTTCAATTCCCACATGGCAACTCACAACTGTCTGTAACTCAAGTTCCAGGGGAATCTACACCCTTGCACAGACATGCATGCAGGCAAAATACCAATGCACATGGAATGAAAATAAATTTGAAAACCAAGTAGTTTCCCATGAATCAGCTGTTACTTCCTCTATCTCCTTCCTTACTTGGAGCATTAGAAATGTAACAATAGATGAAGAGACATCATCACATATTAAAGGAAAATAGACGCCTTGAAACTGATTCAGAGACATAAATTAGATCGTTTACTGGTCTTATTTATTTATTTTAAGAAAAAGTAACCTCAGCACTCACATGCTGAAAGAAAGGGAGGCATGTGTTTGAGCACAGTTGGCTTGAGTGTCATGTGTCTACCGCTCTGTGGTCACTGTTGGGTATTACAGCCTGCTGGCTGCCCTCCTACCCACTTTATCATTCAGTTCCGTTCCCTTTTTTTTTCCTTTCTTTTCTGAGCTCAAGATTAAAACCAGTTCCTATAGAATTGCTAATGCTTTTTAGAGAAAACATTTTACAGCGTAGAGAAATGTGTATTTCCCCCCTGGGATCTGGCCACCCCTGTGCCTGTGACTAACCAGTAACAACTGGAGGCAGTTGCAGTCCATTTTAGGATTCACTAGTTCTCCAATGGTGGCCAGAGGGTCCGAGGCAGAGCAGCATCAGGGAATTGCCATAAGATGGCTCTAGAAGTGGTGCTTCATTGCTTCATTTAATGCATTCAGTGGTTTCACAAGTCTACTCTTAAAGGAATATAGTGGCCTCCCACATGTGGATCTGCTGGCTGACCTTAATTACATTTCCGTTTTCGTATTTGAGCTTTGAAACAAAGTGCTTTAGTTACTTGATTTTCTTTTCAAACCCAAGGTTGATGTCTCTTGTCATCCAGACAGAAGATTTCTCAACAGTAGAATACTGCTTGATTCTCAAACATGATAGCTTCCATTTCACAGGTCTGGGGAAAAACAATATGTACACCCCGAATTAGAACTTCTCATTGTTAAAATACGCCATGTTGTTGTGAAGGATATTGTACTAAATAATGCATAAAAATATTAATTGAGTTTTCAAATATGTGCATTAATCCATATGTGTAATTAATTGTTTCCAGGTGTTATGTGTTCCTTTTAAACCATATTCTCATTATTTGTGACTTAATAGTCCTGAGAAGAAAATGGGCAGCCATTAGACGTTTATTTTACTGAAAGAGGCATTTGCACACAAAGCTGGTACATCTTTTGGCAAAAATTAGTAAAGAGAAAAACCAACAGACTATTACAAAAGGATCCGGAGTGAGGAAATTTGCTACCTCTGCCTGTACCTCATAGCCCACACAAACATCTGGGTTGCATAGTCCGGTGCTTTTAAGGGCAGAAACAGTTTCCCATTAAAAAGGTATTGTTATGCACATTATTTAAAAAGAAGAAAAATGAAATTAATTTTAAAGATCTCCTAATCAGCATTTAGTTCTAATACAAGGCTTAGAACTTTATCAATCGGTGAGTTAAGTGCACTATTTTGACATTGCCCTGTTGTTACATGCTGTGTGTTAGTTTCAGATTCAGCCTTCTTTTAAATTATTCCTCTCCCTAAATATCTTCGCTGTTGTTTTAAACTTGTTTCTGTTGTTTTCCTTCCCAGTTTATCCCCATGCCCGTTCTCTACGGCGTGTTCCTGTATATGGGGGTGGCCTCACTTAACGGTGTGCAGGTAAGCTTCCACAGCAGTGAGAGCAAGCTGTGCATTGCTCAGAGAAGGATAGCCCTAGATCCTTGAGAGCACCGATCTCTACCCACTGACTCGTTAAAATACATTTATTTCCCAGTTCCTCAGTATTTCATCTGCTTTTCATTTCTGATGTGATCCACAAAACTAGCCAGTGTCAAGAAATGTTTTCCTGAATGCTCATTACTGAAAGGGAATGCTTAATGTCATCTGAAGAGAAAATGAGCTCTGTGCTACCGTTCCCACCACCACCAAGTCCACCACCATTTCCACTCCCATCACCACCATCAACATCGCCGCCACCACCTCCTCCTCCACCACACCACCACCACACCACCACCATCACCAACACTACAGCCATGACCATCTGCCGCCGCTACCGCCACCTCCACCACCACAGCTCCCCTCTTCCTCTCCCTCCCCCTTCCTTCTCTTCATCTTCCTTTCACTAGTATTCTTTCCTCGTCTCTCTCTTCACCTTTTCCCCCTGTCAACATGGATAACCCTTACAGGCAGCAGGTGATCCTGCAGTGCACACTCCTGAACTCAGTGGTCAAAAGTTTTACGACAATAAACAATTAAAATTAATGTGTGTTAGGTATTGATTTCATCAAAAATTTCAGCTATTCACAGCTTCAATTAAAATGACCACGCCTGCCCTTACCAATGCTCCTGCCAATGACCCTGCTAGTGACCCTGCTCTTGCCCCTGCCAGTGACCCTGCTTCTGCCCCTAGTCCACTTTTTAAAAAACTTGCTAGAGAAAACTTTGTAAGGGCCTTTGTCTCTCGATGGAGGTTTAATTTAATTGGCACCAGGAAACTGGAAGTTCCGCCGCTTTCTGGCACCCTGTTAATTGTAGCCTTATTTAGCACTCAGTAATGTCTTAATGGGAAAAGACTGCGTGTTCTGTGAACATCATAAGAATTCATTTGGACTCCTTCAAAACAGCCCTTGCTTTCATTTATTGCATTTATATTAACTTGGTTTTAAAGTCAGATAGATCTGGGCAAATGGCCAGACCCCCCAAAAGCAAAGCAAAGCTACTTAACCATTCCTGGTTTTGATCCAGTAGGAGAGTTCTTCCGCACTGGGATAGTTGTTATGAAACACAAAGTAGTTCCTCTTAGGCTGTGCTAGGTGAATGGCAACATGAGTTTAATTGTGCCAACGAAGTGTTTCAGAGGTATAACTTTGTAAAGTATTTTATTTTTTGTCTGCCATTATAAATACTCTTTCTTCTCCAAATGAGAAAATATGAACATTAGATGCCTAGAAAATTATAGTTATTATTTTTTGTTTGCTTTTAAGGATCCAGTCTAAATCAGGGATTTGTTTCAGGATGTTCCAGGGGCTTTATCAATGGCTAGAACTGAGTATCTGTCTATAAAGAGAAGAAAATCGCCAACCGCCTCATAACGATGGGTGTGGGGAGTATTGTGGGGACAGCTACTGAACCGTATAACTCCTGCTAGTGTGTTATTGTTGTCCCAAATGCCTCTTCACTGTTCCTTATTTTTCTCTTGATTCTTCCTCTTTTAGACCCTTTTGATGAGGTTGGTTTAGCCAAAAAATTTTTTAAAAAAGATGAAATCTAATCTTTACACTTAAGAAAGATTGGTTTCTAAAGAGAGAAAACAAAACAAAAACCCTTCAACTAGGCAGTGGCTCTGAAGAAAGTTGTTTCAATGCCACTTACTTTTACTTCTGTATGACAAAACATTATTTCTGAATTCTTTTTTATTTAAATTAGAAACAACCTTATTTTACATATCCATCCCAGTTCCCTCTGCCTCCCATCCTCCCACGCCCCCCACCAACCCCCTCTACTCCTCATCCAGGAAGAGTGAGGCCTTCCATGTGGGATCATCAAAGTCTGTCACATCATTTGGGGCAGGACCTAGGCCCTCCCCTGTATATATAGGCTGAGAGAGCATCCCTCCATGGGAAATGGGCTCTCAAAGTCCATTTGTGCACTAGGAATAAAAACTGGTTCCACTGTCAGAGGACCCATAGACTGCCCAGGTCTCCTAACTGTCACCCAAGTCTTATAATTAGATCAGTAGCTGTCCACACAATGTCTCCTCCTAAAAGCCCCTGTGATGTGTTGCTAAGTACCATCTTGTCTGTCACCATCAGTGTCACCTCGGCACATCATCTGTGAGGTTCACTTGGCACAAGCATGCACAGTTATCCTTTCAGTTCCTGGTCATACATGGCAGAGCCAATCTCTCTGAGGCTCTCGTGTCAGTGTCTTGAAACTGTATGTGTATGGAGCTTTTCTCTGAAAAGAAACAGTGACATGATGGTGGACATGGGTATGTCCATCAAATCTAACCTAGAAAAGGCAAGTGGGATTTATTGGCACACTCTGTGCATTCCCATTTTAACTTAGATCCTTTAAAACGTCTCTGGGGTACTGACAGTGTGGGGTATCATCTGTTCTTCGTTCCGATAAGACAACTGAGGCAGGAGCAGAGGCGTAAGTTAGATGTCTTCCTTCAGATATCATACCAAAATGGGTTCAGAACCCTCTGTGTTGAGAAGCAGAGAGTAGTGATAGAAGGTAGAGGATGAACAGCTAGAGTTATTTTCTTTGGAACTTTGTCCTTCGTTCCCACTTTTTCTTATATACCTGCTAACATCTCTACAAAAGAAAAACTGATCAGCCAAACTTAGAAGACAGGCAACATGATCAGCCTGTGCTAATAATGTAAGTCCCCTACTCCCTAATCTGAGCTTTGTCCTTTGAAGAGGGCATTGCTTGCCTGAAATACACAATGTAATTCACTCGTGGCTAGTTAAGCAGAGTGGAAAAGACTCGGTTGGCTCTTCAAATGATACATTGGATTTTCTTCCACATCTCTCCCCAGTTCATGGACCGTCTCAAGCTGCTTCTGATGCCCCTGAAGCATCAGCCTGACTTCATCTACCTGCGCCACGTCCCCCTGCGTCGCGTTCATCTCTTCACCTTCCTGCAGGTGTTGTGCCTGGCTCTACTCTGGATCCTCAAGTCAACAGTGGCTGCTATTATTTTCCCAGTCATGGTAGGTTTTCCTAATTGAAACTATTCACGGCTGTGTGCACATCACACAGTTACTGTGACAATGGAAAATCCAGATCATGTAAATGTGTGGCTAGTCTTCCATGGTCTTTTTAGCCTTCAGTTGGTCATGTTGGCCAGTTGTTAAGTTTCCCATGACAGCATCTGGGGCCATACACCTTACAATCGTGCCCTTCTGAGTTCAAACACTGGCTCAAGTTCCTGTTGGTCAGCAAACATACTCAAGCCACCATGAACTCATCAGTGGGAGGGTAGGGTTGTTATTGTTCCGAGCATTGATAATGAATGCCAAGTATATAACACAATGTCTGGCAAGCAGTAGACACCAGTACACATGATTTTTAAGGTATTGTATAATAGAACCAATCTAAATAAAAATAAAATATACTTCAGTCCAAATCGTAAAAGCATTTGTAGACTTGTGAGAAAAGGCAGGGCTCATTAGAAGAAACAGAGTATTTAGAGTTAGGTGGTTTTCGTTATTTTGAGGATAAGATTGGACTCTAGTCTTCCCATGATAATCATCAAGGTAAAGCAAGTAACTGCCCCTCTGAATGAAAAGGCAAAGAGGAAATGCAAGCTCTAGGTCTTGCCTCCTTACTGAATTCTATACTTTATTGTAATTCTATTTCTCAAGAGAAGCTGCCCACATATACATACATTGTATGACAAAACTTCTCCTGGGGAGATGCAACACACGTTTACTCACCCCAGACAGGGAACCCCCAGCAGACCAAAGTGCAGATACCACCTGAGGAAGAAGTATTAGCTCAGAACACCCCAAGACCAAGTTCTCAGCACAAAGGAGACTTGCCTCAGGGGGACAAAGGGCAGGGTTAAGGGACAAACATGGGAGATAGAGGATGAGGGAGAAGGGGAGAGGAAGAAGGGAGAGGAAATTGGGATATTTGTCCCTGAGGGGAACAAAGGACTGCCTCTGGATAGAGGAGACAGTCATGGTCCTTAGGCAAGTGGAGGTTTATAAAGGTAAAAGGGGAAGCCCCGTGTTAGGATGAGGTGTTTAATTTTAATTGGACATTTAATTAGGTGAGCCAAGGGTGGCTTATAATTCCTGGATTTCAATACTTTGATAGCTGGACCTTAGTAGTCAGCCTCAGGAGGAGGAAGTGGCCAAATAAGGGAATGGCCCTTACCTGCTAGCTTTAGAGATGTACTCAAACAGCTTTTAGCAAGGCAGAGGGAAGAGGAGAGAAGAGCAAGGTCTGCCAGAGCATACTCCAGTGTGCCAGTGTCCCTTCCTTACCAGAGTCCAATTTGGTGAACCAATGAGTTTTATTGGGCTTACTTACAGGAATATGCGTGAGGGGTTACTCACAGGAATGGAAAAGAATCAAGGACAGCAGCATCACCAAGGCCAACTCCAGCAATGGTGGCAGTTCACAAAGCTGGGAACTTGGAGCATATGGCACAGCCTGCAGAAAGCTAAACAAGCTCGAGGGTGTACTTTCCAGGCCCCTCAGTTGGTCTGAGGCTTTTCCAGGCAGGTGGTCTGGTCAGGGAGCCTTCATTGCAGCTTAACTCTTTTGATCTGTGAGGGACTCTTGGCTTTTATTGCTTACTCTGGCTGTGGGTGGAGAGGGATGGGAGGGGATGGGAGGTGGGGGTGGGGAAACTAGTGAATCTGGTCAGTTTCAGGAACTTCCTGAAGGTATTTTGAGTTGTTTACATTCCTGTTTAAGGATCTTTCCTGCAGGATATATTGTTTCAATCATTGGAGGAAACGGATGCATAACAACACATAAGACTGATCTCAGCTCTGTTCCATCATCCCTTTGATTTCTGGAAACCATTTCTATACTTACCACACTTTGTTTGTAAAGTCACCTAAACTCCTAATGGGGACTGTTATTTTGTTATGTATATATTTTGTGTTTATAGTTGTATTTCTTTTGTTCCTAAGGACATAGAAAAATGGTTTAAAATATTACTGACATTTTCTAAGCAAGATCTTGTTTTCATTGATAATCCCTTACATTTTTTTCCTTAAGCTGTAAAAAATAAAAGAATTGAACATTATAAGTGAGTCTCATTTACCTGTAAGGGCTTTCTACCTTCCCATTATTTTGTTAAAAGTGGGAAAATTAAACCACCCATAATAAATTTGAGATATATCCAGTAAATTATATATTGCTAAATCCTTTACTTTTGTAAAGTGTTACTTTTTCAGAGATCCCCTTAGGTTCATAAATGGTTTTGGAATGCCGAGCGGTGGTGGTGCACGCCTTTAATCCCAGCACTTGGGAGGCAGAGGCAGGTGGATCTCTGTGAGTTTGAGACCAAGCCTGGTCTACCGAGCGAGTTCCAGGACAGGCTCCAAAACAATATAGAGAAACCCTGTCTCGAAAAAACCAAAAAGAAAAAAAAATGGTTTTGGAATGTCAGTGGGGCAGATGTTGTTGATCTCTTCAGGAAATGGATGCCTCAAGTATAGAGTGTAGTGTGGATAAAGACCACTGCTTTTGGAACTTGGCTGTGTATGACTTTTATTGGTAAGCAGCTGATGTTAATGAACCTCCATTGAGGAAAGGCAAGTCATGTAATGGAACCTCGTATTTGTCTGCAGAATTTTAAAAAAAACCAAAAAACTAACAAAACGCAGAAGAGTTCATAGGACCAAAGATACAGATGTAAAAAGTTTTGGCATAAGAAGCAGCAAAGTGGGCCTCGAGATTAAATATAGAATATAAATCACTTCTGGTCAGAAATGACCGAACTGATGTCTCATCAATTAAGGGTGTTTCCTGCACGTACAAACGCCTGTAATTCTGATGCTGTCTTCTAGCCTCCACTGATACTTGCATATATGTATTCATACACAGCATACACAGACACACATATAAATAAAAATAAAATAAATGTAAAAAGAAGAAGATACCTATCCACTTTGCATCCTTTGTTTACTGGTACCATGACCTTGGATCATATAGCATTTATAAACTGCAGTTTGCTCAACTATGTGATAGAAACAATATATTTCTGGAGTTTGTTGTAAGGAATAAATGAGATAGTATTTCCTAAATGTTCAGCAAGGATCAGGAACATGGTAAACATTTAGTTTATATTAGGGACTAGTTTTTAGAAACCTGTATAATTTTAAAATTTTCAATAATTAGAAATCACATGCAAGCTATTTTACCTTTAAGCTTTTAATTTTATTAAAAACTTAACATGAAAGGAAACGGTTTGGGAAAATAATTATGTGTCATTCAAATTGATTTGAATATAAGCATACATTCTCTGATTTAATATGATCATATATCTTTGTGAACAAAACAAAGGAGATTTTGACTGAGATTTTCATCCAATATCTTGTCCAGGGAAGACTATGGGTCACTGGGTAAGCAATTCTGTCAGACACTGAACCTGTATGGATTTGTACAGATATTGGTGGGCAGCGTCAGCAGCATCCTTATGACATCATCTGGAATGACCTGTTTTCTGCAAATGTTGAGGGCAGCATCCTTATGATATCTTAAATGACCTGTTTTGTGATTGTGTTTCCAGATCTTGGCACTTGTAGCTGTCAGAAAAGGTATGGACTACCTCTTCTCCCAGCACGACCTCAGCTTCCTTGATGATGTCATTCCAGAAAAGGACAAGAAAAAGAAAGAGGATGAGAAGAAAAAGAAAAAGAAGAAAGGAAGTTTAGATAGCGACAATGATGATGTAAGGGAAACTCCAAACTTTCCATGTAAATCCAGTTAAAGGAACATTTTTTATTTTGTATTTGTGCTGCATGGGCCCTATATTTAACACTCAAATACTTAGCATTATCTCTCAACAATTCTTTTTTTTTTAAAGAATTATTTATTTTGAATACAACATCCTGCCTCCATGTCTGACTGCATGCCAGAAGAGGGCACCAGATCTCGTTACAGATGGTTGTGAGCCACCATGTGGTTGCTGGGAATTGAACTCAGGGCCTCTGGAAGTGCAGGTAGTGCTCTTAACCTCTGAGCCATCTCTCCAGCCCCCTCTCTCAACAATTCTTAAAAAAGATGGAAAGGGGTCTTTCTTGAATAATCTTTATCAGTGCCATAGTCAAGATTGTTCCCCTATAGTTTGGTGATTAATTTGAGAAACAAAAATATTAATACTTACTCTTCTTTAGATCATGTCATGGAAGTATATGCTTGAGAAGGGGCAGAGTGGCTATAATCAGTGCCCAGAGAGAATCTGGGTTTTATGTTTCTTATTCATGCATGTGCATGTGCATGTGCACATGCGCACATGAGCGTGGGTACACACACACAATGAGAACTCAAACCAATATCCTTTGAAAGAGTTGTCAAAATGATGCTTTGCATGTGACTCTTGGCGGGGAGGGGGGGCTTTTACTTAGTCATATTGGAAAATAATGGCTTGTTATTAAAATTCTGATTGAATATGACCACTTATCTCTATGAACAAAATAGAGTGAGTTTTGAATGAGACTTTTACCACACAACCTTCTCTATGAAGACTGTGTGTCACTCAGTGAGCAGTTCTGTTGGGTTTCTGGATCTATATGGATTTCTTCTGGTGCTGATGGAACAGCAGCGTTGTCAGCATCCTTGACATCACACAATCTGCTTGTGTTCCTGCAGTCCTAAAGTAGGAATACGGTTAATTTTTAATTACTCAATAACTTCAGCTAAGGATGCTTTATCTCCATCTGTCATAACATCTCCTTAAAGTGCATGTTTTTGTTCTCATTTTATAGGTAAGGAGATTTAGAATGATAAACATTGACTTTTTTTATTTTTCAGAACCTAAAAAAAATTAGCCTGAGGTATTACGGACAAGTGAAAATGTATACTTTTAAAGTGTATTAAAGTCATTTTTCTAAGTGTGCACAGCTTGGTGTGGCAAAGCCCGAGCTCGCACCCAAGCTTCTCTGTGTGTTTGTAGTTGATCGGGTTGTCTGGTTGTATTCTTCTTGTGGAACGTGGATATAGTACAGCAAAGGGAAGCACCAGACAGAATTGGATTTCAGATAAATTGATCCAATAAGAAAAGGCTAAATATACAAGACACATTTAGCTATAGAGAAAAGGGCTTGGAGGGAACTTATGTGACTATCACCATTCATCTTCTGTGAGAGCAGGTGTATAGATTTTCTGTTTCCAGTGAGGAAAAAGGGAGCACAGAGCATGTTTGAACTGCAGTTCAGATGAGCATGCTGTATTAAAAAGGACAGTATACCAGGACACTGACTAGAAATCAAAGCTTGAAGTGAATTTTGGACCATTCAAGACAAAAAACAAAAGGTTGGCTGAAATATTAAAATAATTAAAGTAGTATTTCATCTTGAATATTTGAAATGGACACCTCAGTTCGTACTCATAAACACCAAAAAATCATCACACATTATTAATGTGTAAACATTTATTAATGGAATGTTCTGTTACTTAAAATAATATGCAACCTTTTGGGGTTGTTTAAAATTTACCCCTCTCTCATGACAGAAGTTGAATGAAATGAGTTCCTTAAACTAATCCCAGAATTCTTAAATATGCTTTTGATGACTTGTACTCACACGATGCTCTTGTTTGATATTAACCACTTTTTTGCTGCATGTTGCAAATGAGTTTTTGGGAAAGGTCTTGGGTGGTACTAATTTCTTTTCCTTCTTCTCTATCACATCCCTATCCAGACAGAAGATGTGTGCATTTGTTCATACACAATGAATGGGCTTGGTAGTTTAAAGAATATCAGGGCAGTAGGTTCTATGTGTTGAGCCTATTATTTGAAGACTATACATTGGAAGTGTCTCTTTCAATACTCAGATGATGTGGGGTCCTTGGTTACATGTGTCCATCCTGGGACTCCAGGGTCACAGTTCTTGTATTTATGGCACGCATTGTGAAAATTATGTCTTATTTACTCACAGTCACTTCTGGGCCTGCCTAGTAATTAAGAGTTGTTTTGCCCAGGTGTCTGTGTGTAAGTGCTGTTATTTTAGGAAATATTTGAAGGGAGACGTCTGTTTATGACATGATCATGAAGGAAGGTACATGTGGCATCGTAATTTAACTTTTTGTCAGCTAAACACATCATTTTAGTTCTCAAAAGCTATTATAACTCATTGCCTCTATGTATTAATCATAAAGGAATTTTCATCATGAGCAGCAGATTTTAGATAAAAGCCACACAGTCATTTCTTTTTTATCTCTGAGGTGCTGAGAATTAAGTACAGGTGCGGGTCACAATGCTAGAGAAACACTACTTCTGAGATATATCCCGAGCCCTCTTCCTTTTCCTCCTTCTCCTCTCATCTGGCCCCTTCTTTAAGTAAAAGATTGTTTCCTTGATAGTTTCAGTTAATAGATAAATTGGATCCATTCAGTCCAAATATAGGCTTAGAACAATACATTTATTTCTTAATTGATTTTTGAAGTTCTTGTGTGTTGTATTAAATGTTGGGCATATTCTCTCTCATGTCCCTATTCTTACCCTCCTTCCTGCATTAGTTCCCTTTGTCTCCATAGATAGCTTTACTTCTTGATTTTATGTATCTATAATAAAATCTCAGAATGACAAATGAATGAAAACTTAAGTTTTCATCTTTCTGAAACTGGATTAATGCACTTGCCATGATTATCTCTAATTATATCTAACTTCTTTCAAAACAACATGAGTTCATTGTTCTTTATGGCCAAAGGGAAACTGGGGGGGGCACATGTGTGCGCACGCAGGCACACACCCGTGAGTATGATGTTGTCTTTGTCCTGATTCCAGATTCTGCTGTTGGATACTTAGGTTAGTTCCATAATTTAGCTGTTGCAGATAATACTGACATGATCATAGAAACTTTAAAAATTAAGTAGTAATCCTGTGAAAATGTATGATATTTTGGGCTATGTGACCTGTTCTTATGAAGTTCTACAACTAACTATTGAATTTTATCATCTTCCTGGTTATGAATCTATTTATTTGATCATCCTTTTGGTTTTATTTTTCTCAATTTTTGCTTATGTTTAAAAGTATTTTTGTTACAAGCAAATTGAAATGAATTTTTAATTATAGAATAGTTTTTGAGTGTATTAAAGAAAGGGAAACTAAGTAATAAAGGTTCCTTGCTAGTGGATGTTAAAATGTCTTAAACTCATTTTGGACAGGAATATGAGTCATAATTTTCCTGGAGAAAGGATCAGAGAACACTGTAAAACAAAACATGAAATTTAAGACCATATATAGTTTGGAAATTTTCCTGTGTTTTATCTGTGTTCATAGGGAGCATTTTTGCTTCACACATGCAACAACCAAAGTTTACCGATTGGGAATTCAGTTGTGGAACGCTTTGCAGTTGTGTGTGGTTTGCTGATTCAGACTCCAACTATGGAATACTTTATAGTGAGAATGGAGGGATCTCCTTGCTGTGGTTTGAACCTCAGTGAACTCAGTCCCATTAACTCAGAAGAGGGAAAGAAATGATGGATAAAGATGTAGAGTACTTGAAAAGTTAGGCGGTTGGAATGATACCTGATGCTTTTCTCTTTAGTTGCTATAAATGATAAAATGGTAGGTTTGGGCAAACATTGGGAAGCAGAAAGGGCTGAAATAATAGAGGAGATTCTAAAAACTGTTGTACATTTCTTTCACAGTCTGACTGCCCATACTCAGAAAAGGTCCCCAGTATTAAAATTCCAATGGACATCATGGAACAGCAACCTTTCCTAAGTGATAACAAACCCTTGGACAGTGAGTAGAACTAACCTCTTGCATGCTTGCCTGACTATGACCCACGCTTGTCCTCTAGGACTGCCCTCAATTTGCCTCTCTCCTACATTGTCTTTATTCTTTTCTGTGTAAAGACTGAAACAGTTTACTTCTTAGAAGATTTTATTTATTTATTTTTGTTCCTTAAGCTTTACCCATCTCCCTTTTATTCATAACCTCTTAATTTTTGTTTGATAGTCTTTTTGCTAAGTCATCATCAGGGTCATTTTGTTTGTTTTGCTTTCAATAGCTAAACCTGTAACCATAGTTTTAACTGATTTCCCCCCCCCACTGATATTTAGATCTGCAGCTTATGTAGTATTACATCACTGTCTGTTACTGTTTGTCCTCCTTAGGTCTCAGTTAGTCATCTAATTGGTTGAAAGAGAGAAATTATATACCTGGAGTCTCTCTATGATCAATGAGTCGTTAATATTTAGAATTTAGAATACTTTCAATTAAATGGCAGTCATGAAATATTAGTAAAACTCTCTAGATAAAACTGATTTGTGTTTTCCTTCCTAATTTCTTCATTCATCTTCTGTTATTTTATAGTCACAGTTATAACTGCCCTGGTCTTTCTCCAGTATTAGGTTGGCGGCTACCATGTAATAACATGTGAATGTCATCTTTTTGCCCGTGATTGACAGTCCACTCTGTAGTTACATCAGTGAACATATGAAGCTTTTCCAACACCATAAAGCAATTGCTGCCAAAACACTCCATGCTTTAAGTTTTCATTTGAAAAAAATGTTTTCCATTAGATCCAGCTGCACTGCAGAGGATACTGAAATAGTATAGGAATGACAACGGAGACACTTTTATTTCTAGTGGATAATGCCACCCACTGTTCATGAGAGGTTAGGGTCAACAAGAAAATTTGAAATGATTAACTGTTGATAAAATTTGGGGCATATATAGTTATCAATTTCTCATTAATGAATTACTGCCAAATTCAACAGCTTTAGAGCGCAACATGTATTTTCCCTCATGGTTCTTGACATTCAAAAATTCAAGAACCGTGTTGAGTTGATGATCATGGTGCAGGGTCTCATGAGATTGCGTATTTGGCTGTCGGCTAGAGCTGGGACTCTAGGGACTTGGTTGGAGCTTAGGATGTATTTCCAATCAATGGTCTTTGGCAGGAAATTTCAATTCTTTGGCCTGTGGATGTTTCTATAGAACTACCATGGCACAGTGGCATGCTTCTCCCTAGAGAGAGCTTGAAATTCAAATAGAAGCCATGGTATTTTGCAATAGAATCTAAGATTAAACCATCCGGAATTTGTGCCATAGTATGTTAGCTGAGAGACAGCTCTGTTGCAGTGTGGGAAGGACAAGAACATAAACCCCAGGAAATTGGATCATGGGGCACCATTAGGAGGCAGAGTACCCACTGCATTGAAACCAATAAGTCTTACCTTTGTTATCTAACTTGCAAATATCACTTATAAACATAGCTAATTTTATGCCCACCCTTATCAACAGAAATTAGTTAGGAGTTCCTTTTAGAATTTAAGTTCCACTATCATATTCTGCTTTAATTTTCATCCCTAGATGACTAACGGTAAAAGAAGGCTGTAAAGGTTAGCTTAAACCTAAAACTTGTGATAAAAACTTATATACCAATTGTTTGCCCTGTCAAAATCCCTTTACCTAGTATAATTGATGGCTGATATAGAAGCCTAGATATGACCACTTTGACTGAAACTTTTCTAATGACGTGGTGATCTTTGTAGGCCAACGAAGAACAGAATTCATTAAACTGAACATGTAATTAATACACATACCTCCAACATCTCTTTACCTCTTAAATAGCAGCAGCTAGGCAAGACTGAGTGTTGACCTGGATGGAAGCTCAAGAACATGTGTGAGACATAGAGAGGATGTTCTAGCCCGTGGAGGGATTCCCCTCCTACCCTAAAGGAGAGGGGGAAAAGGATTTGTGCTCTATCACACTGCATGCTCAGCTTGACACAATGTTCATCGACACTGTCTAAACCTGATTTTCCTACTCTTTCCAGTTCTGAAGGTTGCCTTGGTTTGCATGAAGGTTTTCATATACACTCTGATCTATTTTGCTTAATTTCATTTTTTTTCTTCCCAGGAGAAAGATCATCAACATTCCTTGAACGCCACACATCATGCTGATAAAATTCCTTTCCTTGAGTCGCTGGGTATACCAAGGTCAGCATTTGCCTTGTGCTGTTGGATGCTGCAGCAGTAGGGCTTATGGGCAGAATCCCTGGTTCTCTTCTCTGGGACTTAAATGGATTACCCACGGACCTAGGAATCGCCCCAGAGTTCGTTCACAAATGGGAGGCATTTTTAAAGACTTGAGCTTTACTCTTAGGAATAATGAAAAACTTAAGTGTTGTAATGAAAAACTTAAAGGCCAGGATCGATATTTAGCCCTTACAATTTCATTGTCACGCAGGGTGACTGGAGTTTCCTCCTCTCTAGCAAGGGTCTGGCAATGACAGGTCCTATCTGAGCCTCCGAAGACAGAACCGTGAATATCTTCCGGCACTGGTCTGGGCCTGTAATTTCTAACAATATTAGTTAACATAATAGTCTCATTTTTTGTTTTATTTTGAGAATTTTTGTTATATGTGAAATCTTGGGCAATTTTCACTTGAATTTGCTTTGGTTTAAATGTCCCTGTTCTTCCTAACACTTGGGAGGCAGAGGTAGGCAGATTTCTGTGAGTTCAAGGCCAGCCTGGTCTACAGAGCGAGTTCCAGGACAGCCAAGGCTACACACAGAAATCCTGTCTCGAAAACCCAAAAATAGACAGATAGACAGACAGATAAATAAATAAATGAGTAAATGAAAGTCCCTGTTCTTAACACACATGAAAGGGATGGCATTAGTATGGGACTGGAGCAGACTGAACCATTTTAAACGTGCACAGTGCACAAGCATTTCAGAGATGACAATGGAAATTGGTTTTACTCATGGTTTTTCTTCTTTCTTTTGTCTGTTTTGTTTCAGTCCTCCTAGAACTCCAGTGGAAGTTGTGCCTCAAATTAGAATAGAACTTGAGCCTGAAGACAATGATTATCCCTGGAGGAACAAGGGAACAGAAACTACATTGTAACCTGTTTGTCTTTCTCAAAACTGACACTTTTGTTAACCGTTCTAACTTTTTCCCTTTCTTTTTTCGTCCATGTATTTTAATACTTTTGTCTGGTCACTGGCTGAATAATACAGTCACTCTCTCCACTTCTCTCTTGCATAGGTAAAATCAAGATAATAGTGTCCCTTTCCTTTAAAAAAAAAAGCAAAAACAAAAACACACAAAGCACCTGAGGGATCATACTTTTGTTTCCAGGTGTTCAGATGTCCTCTGACATGTAAATCCCTGTCACTCAAGACACACACAGAAGCTGCCCTTGTCAAGCAGCGATCAAAAGTATTAAGAATTTTGTACAACCTTTTATGAAACTGTTGAAGGAACTCATGACCTAAACTTAGAGCTGTGCTTATTGACTTGCCATTGTCTGGTAGAACAGCCCTTGACCTCCAGACAGAGTCCCTTCCTGCTTACAGAGCCCCCAAGACTGGAAAAGTGCTGCTACCCACCTGCCCTTGCTGTCAACCCTGATCTTACAGTTACCAAAAGCAGAAAACTCTAATGGTACTTCACTCCCTGTTAGAGAAACCTTTGCCATCATTGTAGCAAGTGCTGGAATGTCCCTTTTTCCTATGCAACTTTTTTTAACCCTTTAATGAACTTATCTGTTGAGTACATTGAAGAATATTTTTCTTCCTAGATTTTGTTGTTTAAATTATGGGGCCTAACCTGCAACTTATTTTTTGTCAATTTTTTTAACTTTTTTTTAATTACTGTAAAGAAAAAATGAATTTTTCCTGCAGCAGGAAACATAGTTTTGAGTAGTTCTACCTCTTACCTGTAGCTGCCAGGCTTTCTGTAAAAATTGTATTGTATATAATGTGATTTTTACACACACACACACACACACACACACACACACACACTATGGTAAGCCAGAAGGCTAGAACAAATTAAAAGAAAAACGAAACATCATGTTTCTAAGAATCTGTTGGGTTGTTGTTTTTTCCCCTTTCTTCAAAATAAATGTAACTGTTCTGTGAAGGAGTCTGGGGAGAGAAACACGTGGAAGAGGGGTAACTTCTGCTGTGATGATGGTCATGCTGGGGGCAGATGCTGGTGTGTTACATGTTGATGTCCTATGCAGTGTTGTTAGAGATCTCCTCATTTTAATAATTTGTGTGCTTGTGTATAAGCTCTGTGTGTGGCTGTTGCACACTTGTGCAAAGCCAGATAAAAAGTGACAGTAGACAGAGCCAAAGTTATCAAGCCCTTTGTGTCCATTTTCATAAAACCCAAACCACTCATGAAAGATATGTCAGGGGCCAAGAAATCTATCATATAAATTCAGGTGAATATGTCTTATTAATGACTCAGACATCAGTCAGCATCACAGATATCACATATTTACAGTACAAAAGCCCTAAGAATCTTAACAGCCCTATCTCACATCTGTAATGGGAAGAAAGCACATAGATCTCCAAAGACAGTTTAAAGTTCTTATTTACATGCATTCGTAGAACAAGGTGGTTGGATCACTCAGAATAGATGTGTGTGTATATGTACGTGGTTCATCATACTGTGTTGAATAATTAGACCTTTATTGGACAGACTGAGTGTGGTGTTTGATTGCACTGTTTTTAGTAAGTCACATTATATACCAAGTGTATATTAAAATAACAGTTTAGATGTGAAGTCCACACTTTGGGATTGTTATAACAACAGTTGTGATGCACACTCACTGTCAGAGGTTGCTAGAGAGGCAAAACTGAACCACTCTGATTCTGTGGTGTGCTTTTACAGAGCCCCACTTTCTTATCATAACTAAAAAAAATTCTGCTTTCCTGAAATGTTGAGGGTAAGGGTTCTATTATCCTAAGTTATCTGTGACTTTTACAGTATTTGGTCATCTTGAAAGTTTTAAATTGCATAGAAATTAGGTATAAATGACATCATAAATAATGCTATCACTGAAACGATAGCAGGAAATGACATGTTATTTGTTAACATCTCAGGTGATACATTTTACAGCACATTTGTAATGGTTGCTGTGTATTCCCTAGTTTTCCATTAAACCACATAAGCCGTCTTACCTTTTTAGTGATGGAAACATCAGGAAAGCATGCAAAGTCATGCATAGTAAAGGCGTCAATCTTGATGTTCAATCAAAGCCACTTTGTTTACTTTTCTGAAATCTCTGGATATATATATATGTACATATATATATTCTAATTATGAATCAAGTTTATTTAGAGATTCATGGTCTTCTTTATCCTTTTCAGAGAGCTCCTGAAGTAACCTAAGTCATAATTCAGGCTTTGAGTAGATCTTGAAGTGATCCATCCCTAGTCTTTGACCAGAGTGGATGGTTACTATTCACAAAAGGAACATAAAGCCATACCTTACATTTGCTACAAGGAATAGTTAGCACCAAGCCCTCTCATCGCTCCGTAGTTCCCACACTAACAAGCAGAACTCCCCAATCTCCATGGAAACCCACATTATCTGAACCTGGCTGAATTTGTTCTTGGCTGATAACGAACCAGACTTCAGGGTGGTTTTGTTTGTATGTAAACTGGACACAAACACAGCAATGAATTCTTTATAATGCCTTTCTACCCTTCCTCCCTGGATGTGAATTTGGAGACTAATGTTTCTTGAAGTTAAGACTCAGAGTCGTTGACCAGGAATACTGTGGTTGTGCAAACTGACTGTGAAGAGGAAGATGCATGGGCTGAGCCCACCTATTGAAGCAGGAAACCTCCAGTTTGCAGAAGGTCTTGGAGATGCTGTTCCTTTCCTACTGTGTGCAAAAACTACTTGGAATCCTAATTGTTTTGTGTGTCAGGGGCAGTGCTGTTTCAGTTTCTCCTTCCAGTAAAGTTGAGGGGTGGGACTGGGAAGTACTCAGTTGAAAAGAGGCAAAGAAAACTTCCCTCCTGATCCCGCACCTAAGAGAAGGGGGTGTCTGCTGTCGGTAATTCAGCATATGTGCATTTGGGGCACATGTAACAACACACACAGAGTAAATCCTTTGTTGGCTATGTATTGGTGTTTAATATAGCGAATGATTGTCTTCCATGTTTTTGTTTTTTTTTTAACTGTGTTAAAGTACTTGAAATGTATTGACTGCTGACTATCTTTCAAAAACAAAACCATTTGAATTATATTACAGAGGTTGGCATTGATCCGGAATGGGACAAAGTTTTCTTCAGTCTTTTTCATACCACTTCATGATTTTGGTGCAAGAACCTACGATTTTCTTCCTTATATTCTGTGATAGGTCCCATCTGCTCCCATAACACGAGCATGAAGCCCTGCTAGTACGAAGTGATTGGAGACAGTTGGAAGACAGTGCTCTTCCCTGTCGGCATAGCCCTGGGAGTGTGCAGGTCTCTTCACTGAGCTTCAGGGCAGCCTAAAAGGAAAACACCCTTTTGTGATACATGTGAATCTGGAGACTTGCGTTTTGACCAGAGATGTGGATATATCTTATTCCTGGTCCATTTCATTGTGTTCTGTGGATACTCATAAGAATCCTGAATTCTGTTTCCTAGGCAAATATTGCAACTCAGGGCTTAAGTCACCCAATGAATCCTTAGAGCCTGAAGTAACTTTGTCCCAGGCCTACAATGTGCAACAAACGCAGACTTGCCTCCTTGCAGCCATTTTCGTGGCTGGTACATATCCGTACACATTAATTTTCACAATCAGTACGCACTTTCAGATATTCTTATTTTTATTCTCTTTAGTCTTTATTAACTTTGGAGAAATGATGCATCTTTTTATTTTAAATGAAGTAGATCAACATGGTGGAACAAAATGATAAAGAACAGAAAACATTTCAATATATTGCTAATAATTTTTCCAATATGAAACCTAAAATTCCTATAACATAGTATTTTACAGTTTTATGAAGCTTTCTATTGTGACTTTTATGGAATTAAGAGATGAAGAAGATGAGATATTTTAGCATTTATATTTTTCAAAATTAAATGTATACTTAAAATAAAGTAACTTTATGCATTTCTGAGTGTCAAGTGCTTCTGTTCAACTCCTTGACTGATTGCTTTATTTTGTTCGTTTGAGTGCTGTAAAAACAACTAGAAATATGAGTGAATGAGAGCACCTGTCCTCAGCCTGGTACTCTCTCTAGGTAGAAGGATAAAATTAATGTCCCTAAATATAGAAGATTGAAGTCATATTTTATTATTAATGAAATATTCTTGTTCAAGGTTTATAGTAAATTAATAATGAATAAGGACAATTAGAGAAAAAATGCTGTCATTCTTTTTTTAACTACTAAATTAAAAAATACCATTTTCTTGAATCTAGAATGATATATATACTCAATTAATTCTTAAAGCAAGCCAAAGGGCGACAAATTGTAAGCATTCATTAAAAAATAATTAATCGAATGAACAAAATCCAAGAATGATTTTTCCCATCCAGAATTGATTCTCAGAAGATATATTGCACATACTTCTCTTGGGCCAACTTGAGCCTTCATCTAACATTTAAATGTCTCTAGGAAATGTCAGTCTGGCCCTAAATTGCCGTTAGAAAGTGCTGATAATGGCAGGTGAAACAAATGGTAGGGAAGATGAGAAATTACTGTTGGAAGCAGAGAAAGTTTACATTGTGTTGTGGGTTATCCAGTTCGGACACCCCTTGGGGGAGGGGGTGAGAAGATGCAGCACCCAAGACTCAGGCACTGGGAGTCAGTGAGCAGCAGGATGTGCTGCAGACTCCTTTATTAAGGAAGTTAGACCTGTTTTTACACACCCTCCCAAGGTCCTATTGGCTCAGGTGGCTGACTCTACTGCATTGTCCTTTCCTCATTGGTGTCTCTGTGTCAGCAGTCTCTGGGCACTGAGGCAGGCTTGGTGGCTTGGCTCAGGGAAGAAGCACCTGCCATGCATGCACATGCAGTTGGCCTGGGCACTTGGAACAGGATAACTGCAGCTTAGGCAGGCCAAAGTTTCTCCCACAACATTGGAATACAAAAACAGTAAGGTAAAGACTTGGACCGGAACTGTCATTTAATCTAGAAGTTTCATGAGATGCTTTTCACATCTGGATACGTGGTGTACAAGCAAACTTGATCACTGAGCTGTAAGAAGCAGCCAAGCCTGACTCAGCAGAGATCAAATATGGTGAAGCTTTATTAATTCTCTTATAGGATTCATTAACTATTATCATGTGTACAATTGCCAAGTCAAGAAATCAGGAAAAAAAGCATAATTTGTGTATTGTCACTAACTAAGTAATATTCAGGAAGTCTCCAAAGAAGATGATATGTACAGGGGAAGAGTATAGCATTGCAATATTTGTGTCATAATACACTATGGTTTGTTCAGAAAAAAAATGGTGTGAAGAGAAGTTTCTAAAGGTAGAACTGTGGAAAGTTACAACAATCCTTTGACACAGTGGTTAGGAACAAGGTAACGCCTGCCTGAAGTGGAACAGACAGCCTCAACTGATGTCCGTGTAGGAATACCTTTTGAATTAGGTTTCTTCAGCCGTGAGTCAAGAAGGGGTTGCCAGCAGAATCATTTGTGTAACTGCCACCTTCAGCAAGCCAGGGATGAGAACAGTTATCTGTGCTGTCCCAGTTTTGCATTATTATTAGAGTTTATGCACATACCACATTATTTATTATTATTACTATTATTGGTTTTTATGAGACAGGGTTTCTTTGTATTGTTTTGGAGGCTGTCGGTCCAGCCCGGCCTTGAACTCACAAAGATCCGCCTGCCTCTGCCTCCCGAGTGCTGGGATTAAAGGCGTGTGCCACCACCGCCTGGCAGAGTTTATGCACATACCATATTCTTACTGACAGTTTTCACACTGGAAAAGTGGCATCCTTTTACATTTCCACGTATTTCCAGTATGCAACCAGGCTTTCCCTACAGACTAGAGAGCAAGGATGTGGTGATATTTTGTTTGTACAAATAAAGCGTGTCTGGGCCGGGCGGTGGTGGCGCATGCCTTTAATCCCAGCACTCGGGAGGCAGAGGCAGGCGGATCTCTGTGAGTTCGAGGCCGGGCTGGACCAACAGCCTCCAAAACAATACAGAGAAACCCTGTCTCATAAAAACAAACAAACAAACAAATAAAGCGTGTCTGAAGATCAGAGGGTGGAGCTTGCCACTAGCTAACATACAGACAGGAAGTGAGATGACTGGGTGGAGAAAGGATTGTGAGCAGGAGGAAACAGGATCTTGCTCTTTCTTTCAGGCTGGGAAGTTGAATAGGTGAGGTAACTGTGGTTTTGCTCCTTCAGGCTAATGTGCTGATATGGAAGGGGAAGATTTTGTGGAGCCCCCAACCCTAGATAAAGAAACTACAGGTAGCTAAGGAATGATGAGATGGGGAGAAAAATGGTCTTCTCAGAGAAGATTCTCCCAATTAGTAGTCCAGAACCAAATGGTCAGTCCTTACATCATTCGCATATAAACTACATTATGGGGTGAAGCAGATTATGTATGTAGGTGTGTGTGTGTGTAACAATAAAGGAAAAGAGGCCAGTGTTCCTGAATTTGAGAGAGAGGAGGAAGGTGGGGTAAGTTAATGGAGAGGTTAGAGGAAGAAAAGGGAATGATGTATTTTAATTCAATTTTTAAAATATATGGTGATGTTTAAGTAGTTTACATTACTTGTTGCTCTTGCAGAGGACCCAGGTTTGTTTCCAGCACCTGCATGGTGCTCGACAACCATCTGAAACTCCAGTTCGAGGGGATTTGATGCCCTTTTCTATCCTCCATGGGCACTGCATGCATGTGGTACACATAAATACATGCAGGTAAAACATAGACATAAAATAAAACGTAGGCTCTTTAAAAATTATGTTATGACAGAAATATGTACTGGGTGGAGTGGAGGTCCAATTGAAGATACTGATAATTCCTTATAGCAATAAGATATGTAATTACCAGGGCATTTTCTAAAGAACCCTGGCCATTTATAAAAGAAATGTGTGTCCAAAAATGCTTTCTGAGGTGAAACTATGAAAAGAGATAAAGCAAATGTGGAAGGTGTAAAACAAAATAATGAAAGGAGAGAATTACCATATGCAGTGGTTTTGATGTCTCCTCCAAAGATCATGCTGAAGGTCAATCCTCAGTGCGGCAATGCCGGGAGAGAACTCTAAGAGCAATTGGGATCAAAAAGAACTCAGCTGTCATGACTGGATCAGCTGCTTGCCACAGAGGGACCTGGTTATCTCAGGAATGAAATTGACCCTAGATTTTTCTTTCTGTTTATCTCTGTGTGCTTGTCCTTCAGTATATTAAGATATAACAAGAGCCCACCCCTCACCAAAGCCACAATCTTGGACTTCTTAGCCCCCAAACCTATAAGCCAAATAAATCTTATTTTTCATTTGTCTATCCATCCATCCATCTGTCTAATTTGTGTATGTGTGCTAGTGCACATGTGCCATGACACCTGTATCAGAAGGCCGCTCTTGGAGTTCATTCTCTTCTGCCATCTTGTGGATTGAATTTAAGTCCTCTGGCTCGAGCATAAGTACCTGCACTTGCTGAACCACCTTGTCAGTCGGCTGTCTCTTCTCATTAGAGTTACCCAGTCTGTAGTATTTTGTAATAACAGCAGAAAACAGTCTAAGAAGCAATGTAGCTGTCAAATCAGTTATCCAATAATTATTGGATACTGACTATTATGAGATACTTTGGGTGGTTAAATCAGTGAAGAAAAACATAGCTCCTGCCCTAATGAAATGGGTGATCTAGCAAAAAATATACAGTGACTGACTGAATGAGTGAGTGAGTGAATGAATGAATGAAAGAATACAGAATTACACTGTTATAAAGGAGAAACGATAATATGAGAACAGAATAGGGATAGTGGTGTTCTTATAGATGAGACAAGGAGAGACCTGGAATGTGCAGGAAGCTAAGTAGACTTAAGGATGGCCTATGGACAGAGGGAACACCATTGCAATGAGGAGAGAAGCGGTCAAAGGATGAAGAAAACATCAAATTCATGGAACAGCGCATCTCTGCACACTAGGGACCAAAGAAGTGGAGTAACGAGTTGAACCCACTGCATGGCAGGGAGAGTGTGGTTTGAGAAGCTTGAATAAGGCTTTCCAGTGAAGAGAAGCCTCTGTGAAGTCCCGGGAAGTGTCTTTAAGGGATGGGAATCCTCTGTGATCCTTGATGTCACAGATTTTTTTCCTGATGAGAGATTTAAGACTCACATTAAGTTGTAATAGAAATCCCTTAAAGGCTTTTGAAAAGGGAAAAATTGATCAGATCTGCAACAAAGCGGCCTAGCTTAGAGACTAGAAGCAGAGTGACTAGTGGAAATAATCCCAATGAGGGGTGGCAGTCAGGGTAGCCCACATTTACCAGGTGAGTAAATAGGATGGATTTAAGAATACATACACTCGGGCTGGAGAGATGGCTCAGCCATTAAAGGCTAGGCTCACAACCAAAAATATAAGAATACATATACCTAAATCTTTGTCTTTGTCACTCTTTGTATCCTTCCTTAAATAATGAAGTATCAGTGCTTTTGGAGACTTAAGGAAATTTTTGTTTCTGGTTTCCCCATCCCATCTTTTGTTAATTATTGTTCTTCTAGTTCTCCCTCAGGCCTGATCCTCTCTCTTCATGTCCTGTCACAGCAATCACATCTCCAAAGAATATCTTTCTGCTGGTTACCCCCCATTCTGCATCATTAGCCCTGTTCATTCTTTTGAGCATGGATGTACAATTGATTTTAGACCATTTAAAGTTTTAGACCAACATCTGTTTTGCATATATCCATCTATTCCACACTGTGCCATAGAATAAGCCACCAGCCACGTGGTTCTCATGTTAGACATGTAAATGCCATCCTTTAAGTCTGTTTCTAACTTCACTCAACAAATCATTAATTCTTCCCTGCCTCCTAAACAGATTTAAACACTTAACTATTTGTAAAATATCTTCACGTACACAGCACTAATTCAGACACCCATCATACTATACTGAGTGTCTTCCACTGTTGCTGGGATT